GTGTGATTAGGGAATTCAAGGATTACACAGACAGTGAAGAATTTAAACCTGAACAAGTGTTTAATTGCGACGAAACAGGCCTGTTTTGGAAGAAAATGCCAAGCAGGACCTACATTACTCAGGAGGAAAAGGCACTCCCAGGACATAAGCCTATGAAAGACAGGCTTACTCTGTTGATGTGCGCCAATGCTAGTGGTGATTGCAAAGTGAAGCCTTTATTGGTGTATCACTCTGAAACTCCCAGTGTGTTCAGGAAAAACAATGTCCTCAAGGCTAATTTGTGTGTGCTGTGGAGGGCAAACAGTAAGGCATGGGTCACTAGGGACTTTTTCTATGACTGGTTACACCATGCATTTGCCCCCACTGTGAAAAATTACCTAATTGAAAAGAAATTAGACCTTAAGTGCCTCCTGGTATTAGACAATGCCCTTGGTCATCCTACAGACTTGGCAGAGCGACTTTTTGGGGACATGAGCTTCATTAAGGTCAAGTTTTTGCCTCCTAATATCACTCCTCTCCTGTAGCCCATGGACCAGCAGGTCATTTCCAACTTCAAGAAACTGTACACAAAAGCTATGTTTCAAAAGTCCTTTGTAGTGACCACAGAAACTCAGCTGACTCTAAAAGAGTTTTGGAAGGATCACTTTAATATCCTCAATTGTATAAACCTTATAGGTATGGCTTGGGAGGGAGTGACTAGGAGGACCTTGAACTCTGCTTGGAAAAAACTGTCGCCAGAATGTGTAGACAAAAGGGATTTTGAAGGATTTGAGGCTAACCCTGAGAAGCCTATGCCAGTTGAGGAATCCGTTGTGGCATTGGGGAAGTCCTTGGGGTTGGAGGTTAGTGGGGAGGATGTGGAAGAGTTGGTGGAGGAGGACAATGAAGAGCTAACCGCTGATGAGCTGCTAGATCATCTTCAACAGCAAGAGGCTACACCTGAGGAAACTGCTTCGGAGGAGGGGAGAGAGAAATTGAGGAAGTTGCCTACTTCAAAGATTAAGGAAATGTGTGCAGTGTGGCTTAAAGTGCAAACCTTTTTTGATGACAATCACCCTAACACAGCTATTGCAAGCCGTGCTGGTGACTATTACACTGACAATGTTGTGAAACACTTTAGGAATGTCATAAAGGAACGGGAGGTACAGGCCTCTATGGACAGATATGTTGTGCGACAGAAGTCCAGTGACTCTCAAGCTGGTCCTAGTGGCATTAAAAGAAGAAGGGAAGTAACCCTGGAAAAGGACTTGCTACCTGAAGTCCTAATGGAAGGGGATTTCCCTTCTAAACAGTAACACCTCTCCCCTCCTCCCATACCATCAATCATCACCAGATCTTCATTAAAGGTAAGTGTCAATTATTCTATTGCTATTGTTGTTATTGTAATTATTCTATTGCATTAAACTTAATATTTCATGTGGTAAAATTGTTTTTTTCATACTTTTGGGTGTCTTGCGTGGATTAATTTGATTTCCATTATTTCTTATGAGGAAAATGGATTCGCTTTTCGATATTTTCGGTATTTGATGAGCTCTCAGGAATGGATTAATATCGAATACCGGGGGTTCACTGTAGTACCATTGTACCATATGGTACAGTTGTACCATATGGTTTTCCTAGGTTTTCCTAGGTTCTCCAAACATATGCTGCTAAGTATGATATTCTATGTAACTTTATTTGTGTATACCTAAATAAACTTACTTACGATGCCACATGCACTTGAGTAAGTTTATTCAGGTGTACAGAAATACAATTACAGGGATTATCATACATAGCAGCATATGTATAAAGTCCTAGGATAACCCAAAAATGTCAGGGTGACTTATTTCCATAGGGATCCCTGTATCTGTACCATATGGTGTCCTGTACTGTATGGTACCCTGTACCATATGGTATCCTGTACCATATGGTACCCTGTACCATATGGTACCCTGTACCATATGATACCCTGTACCATATGGTACCCTGTACCATATGATACCCTGTACCATATGATACCCTGTACCATATGATACCCTGCACCATATGGTACCCTATACCATATAGTACAATGTACCATATGGTACCCTGTAACATATACCATGCACCATATGGTCAATAGGAAGTGTTGGTGGCAAGACTGAGTGGCAACGCAAGCTAGTGACTCAGCAGTTTCCAAGACAAAGCGCTTTGTCATCCACCTCAAGGAACATGTCGAGTGGCTGTACATTTGTAAATATATAATAGAACATTACTAATATACAACATTTTTGCATATTTTTGTTGTAAACAATTATTGTAAACGAAATAATGATGAAAATATTAGTGTGTTTATTATGTTGAATACAACAGTACCATATGGTACAATGAACCATATGGTATCATTGTACTGTATGGTACAATGTACCATATGGTACCATTGTACCATATGGTACCAATAACTAACTTACCACTGCTCTCTAAAATCTTTGAAAAATTAATTCATAGACGGATTTATTCCTACCTCGTTTCACACAACATATTAAACCCTTGTCAGTTTGGATGCAGGAATAATAAAAGCACAAATGGCGCTATCATACACATGCTAGAACTAATATATACCGCACTTGAAAAGAAAGAAGTCCTGCTGGGCATTTTCGTTGATTTATGTAAAGCTTTCGATACAGTCGACCATGAACTACTATACTCCAAATTAATGCACTATGGTATCAGAGGCCACTCCCTCAACTACCTAAAGTCATACCTTAGTGACAGAACTCAATATGTGTATGCAAATGATGCAAACTCCTCCACCCAACCAATCACAGTAGGAGTCCCACAAGGAAGTGTCCTTGGACCACTCCTCTTTCTCATCTACTTCAATGATCTACCAAATGCATCACAGCTACTCAAACCCATTTTATTTGCAGATGACACTACATATGTATTTTCCCAACCAAACGCAGTCATACTAGCAAACACAGTCAATGCTGAATTACAGAAAATATCTGCCTGGATGATGACTAACAAACTTACCCTGAACACTGATAAAATCTATTTCATTCAGTTTGGAAACAAAGCTGCAAATGATCCAATTAACATTACGCTAAATGGATCATCAGTCACAAGACTCACAGAGGGAAAATTCCTAGGTATCCACCTTGACAGTAACCTTAAGTTCCGGACATACATACGACAAATCACCAAGAAAATCTCCAAGACTGTAGGCATACTATCAAAGATAAGGTACTACGTTCCACAATCAGCTCTCCTGGCATTGTACCATTCACTCATATACCCTTATCTTACATATGGAATTTGTGCATGGGGATCAACAACATCCGATCACCTAAAACCCCTAATAACCCAGCAAAAGGCAGCAATAAGAATGATAACAAATTCCCACTCTCGCCAGCATACTCCACCAATTTTCAAAAGTCTGAATCTGCTTATCATTAAGAACATCCATACTTATTCATGTGCCTACTACATACACAGAACAATATAACCCCCCCACTCAAACTTTTCCTCACCAACCTAAACAGGACACATGACCACAACACAAAGACACAGATCTCTTTTTGATATACCTCGTGTCCATATCACACTGTATAAAAACTCTATGCACATAAAGGGCCCCAAAATATGGAATTCATTACCAGAAGGTATTAAAGTAACCCAGTCTGAAAATCAATTTAAGACTCTTCTCAAAAGCCACTTAATCACCCTAGACTAAATGCTAAATACTCAGTACCCATTTACTCACCTATGTACTCCCACATCATAACTGAAACAATCACATTGAACCTTTTATCCATTGTTGACAGGAATATAATTGAATCATTGTTTTTCACAAAAGCATTTTAGAATAAAAATATGTATATCTTTGTATTATACAAATTTTTATTCATTTATAATTAATATTCCTCTGTACAACTATGAAATAATTACTTTCCTGCTGTACAACTATGATATACTACTCCTTAGTATTAAGTAGAATGTAAGCCAATAATGTTAAGTTGGCCCATAATGCCAAGGCATAATAGAGGCTCTCTTTGCATTGCAACCCACTATTGTATATACACAATCTCTCTGTACTGTTTGCAAAGACATTTAATAAAAATAAATAAATAAATAAATAAATAAATAAAATAAATAAATTGTATCATATGGTACCATTGTACCAAATAGTGCCATTGTACCATTCTACCATATGGTACCATTGTATCATATGATACCATTGTATCATGTGCCATTATACCATATGGTACCATTGTACAATATGGTACAATTGTACTATATGGTACCATTTCACCCTATGGCACCATTGTACCATATGGTACCGTTGTATTCAACACAATAACTGCACTAATATTTTCATCATTTTGTTTACAATAAACTTGTAAACAAGTTTTGTAAGCAATATAATGATAAACAAATTAGTGCAGTTATTGTGTTGAATACAATGAGTGTACACTTATGCAATGTTCATTATATTGGTCTCACAGTCTACAAATGTTACTAGAAAAAGAAAAAAAATAGAAAAGAAAAGAAAAAAGTATAATAAACGTAAAATAAAAAAATGCAAATTTGCGGAAGTCACTGATGTTGCTGCCACCCGGTCATTTTGGGTCAACTTCCCGCCACTGTATCTCGGTAAATACTGATCAGAATTTTTTTTTTTGTTTTATTACCTTCACAAAAATATTATCTTTAATTCTGTAAGATTTTTTTTTTTTTTTTTTTTTTTCAAAATTTCTTGGACACTGGGGCACCCCTTCAGATTTTGGCCTTGGACCCTAAAAGGGTTACTTATATCAGTTTATTCATTATTAGCCTCTCATTTGTTGACAAAGTATCTTCCTCTGAGATTATCAATCTTCATTATGCTTAATCTCCCAGTGAGGAGTTAACAGTGGTGAGGATGCACTCAACATTTGAACTTTGGTAACTTGTGTGGCCTGCAAACACTATGGTAATGAAATTGATAAACAAATTAATTGTATGTTATATTTCTGCTGCTTTTAATTTTAAATTTTCAGTCTTGTACTTGATCACTTTTATTTTAGCAGGAAATTTGAATCAAGTGTCTCATGCGTGTACATCCATAGGCTATGTGATTATAGTGTGTAAATTTCTTACTATGCCATCCTCCAAAATGTCTTTAGTGATGGTATATTTTGCTCATTTATGGTCATTGATGATTTTATTTTTAATCTGGTGAAATTTCACTCATAACTGTTTGATGGTTTAGACACTTGTATAGCTGTTCCCTGTAAAAGTTACTTTGTGTCTAAAATACAGTAATGTAATTTTTATTTATTTTTTAACACTAGCAATCTCCCACTGAGATAGGGCGACCTGGAGAAGAGGATACACTTTCACCATTCCTCATTCTGTCACTATTTTACCAGAGGCATGTAAACATTACATCTTAGATGCCCCTCCAAACTGCAACATTCCCACCCCTCCTCTAGAGTGCAGGCACTATACTTCTCACCTCCACAACTCAAGCCTGGCTAACCGGTTTTCCTGAACTCCATTATAAATGTTACCTTGCTCACACTCCAACAGCACGTCAAGTCGTACAAATCACATGGGTGCATAAATACTGCCGTATCTACACGCCTCTGGCAAGACAGTAACAGTGTGAATAATAGTGAAAGTGTTTCTTTTTCGGGTCACCCTACCTCAGTGGGAGATAGCCTATGTGTTAAAACGAATGATTTCAGCTTTGAATTTGTTTAGGAACTGCATTGAATTTCTGCATTGCTTTCTATTCACAAAGATAACATTTTAAGAACTATATATTTCCTTGTAGTGTTAGTTTTATCTAAATTTACATTTCTTTATTTGTATAGGGGCTGTGGGTGGCCTGGTGGCTAACGCTTGCGCTTCACATGGCGAGGGCCTGGGTTCGATTCCCAGCCAGAGTAGAAACATTGGGCATGTTTCTTTCCGCCCGTTGTCTATGTTCCCCATCAGTAAAATGGGTACCTGGGTGTTAGTCGTCTGGTGTGGGTCACATCCTGAGACACTGACCTAATTTGCCCGACATGCGGAGCATAACAAGGGGCTTTCTATATAGTAGTATGTCATTGATGTCAGCTAGGCCTGTATACCATGTACATGCACTTGTAGTAAATAAAGATATTATTATTATTATTATTATTATTATAGGATTTAGATGAATGGAGTTTACGCATCTCTTGGCTGGACCTCCACCTCATGTATGAACAACAGAGAATTTCAACCCAGGAGCTCAATACATGGCTTGATAATGTAGCTCAAGCAGCTATTGAAGTGTTCCATCTTAACCTTGATCCAGATGGATCACCCATGTCACCCTCGCTAACTGGTCACAGGTAATGTTTGGGTCACATCGTAAAAGGCCACGAATTGGAAATGAAAACTGGCCACATTCACAGTGAGCTAAGATGGATCAAAATTTCATCTTTCTTTCATTTCCAATTTATGGGGATATTGCAATTTGCTCCAGCCATATATTGTGTGATTTTTATTCTTATTTAAACAGCACAGAGACAAAGTTTTTTATGTGTATATATAAAGTTTGGCCGACTTGTTGAAAAAAAAAAAAAAAAAAAAAAAAAAATAATGGGAGTGTGTGTAAAGGAAGAAAGTTGAAAGTGAACATAGAAAAGAATAAGGTGATGAGGGTATCAAATGATTTAGATAAAGAAAAATTGGATATCAAATTGGGAAGGAGGAGTATGGAAGAAGTGAATGTTATCAGATACTTGGGAGTTGATGTGTCGGCGGATGGATTTATGAAGGGTGAGGTTAATCATAGAATTGATGAGGGAAAAAAGGTGAGTGGTGCATTGAGGTATATGTGGAGACAAAAAATGTTATCTATGGAGGCAAAGAAGGGAATGTATGAAAGTATAGTAGTACCAACACACTTATATGGGTGTGAAGCTTGGGTTGTGAATGCAGCAGCGAGGAGGCGGTTGGAGGCAGTGGAGATGTCCTGTCTAAGGGCAATGTGTGGTGTAAATATTATGCAGAAAATTCAGAGTGTGGAAATTATGAGAAGGTGTGGAGTTAATAAAAGTATTAGTCAGAGGGCTGAAGAGGGGTTGTTGAGGTGGTTTGGTCATTTAGAGAGAATGGATCAAAGTAGAATGACATGGAGAGCATTTAAATCTGTAGGGGAAGGAAGGCGGGGTAGGAGTCATCCTCAAAAAGGTTGGAAGGAAGGGGTAAGGGAGGTTTTGTGGGTGAGGGGCTTGGACTTCCAGCAGGCGTGCATGAGCGTGTTCGATAGGAGTGAATGGAGGCGAATGGTATTTGGGACCTGACGATCTGTTGGAGTGCGAGCAGGGTAATATTTAGTGAAGGGATTCAGGGAAACTGGTTATTTTTATATAGCCGGACTTGATTCCTGGAAATGGGAAGTACAATGCCTGCACTCTAAAGGAGGGGTTCGGGATATTAGCAGTTTGGAGGGATATGTTGTGTATCTTTATACGTATATGCTTCTAAACTGTTGTGTTCTGAGCACCTCTGCAAAAAGTGATTATGTATGAGTGAGGTGAAAGTGTTGAATGATGATGAAAGTATTTTCTTTTTGGGGATTTTCTTTCTTTTTGGGTCACCCTGCCTCGGTGGGAGACGGCCGACTTGTTGAAAAAAACAAAATGTAAAGTTTGTTCTAGGTAGTAGGTTGGTAGACAGCAACCACCCAGGGAGGTACTACCATCCTGCCAAGTGAGTGTAAAATGAAAGCCTGTAATTGTTTTACATGATGGTATGATTGCTGGTGTCTTTTTTTTCTGTCTCATAAACATGCAAAATTTTAGGTACATCTTGCTACTTACACTTAGGTCACAATACACATACATGTACAAGCATATATATACACACCCCTCTGGGTTTTCTTCTATTTTCTTTCTAGTTCTTGTTTCTGTTTATTTCCTCTTATCTCCATGGGGAACTGGAACAGAATTCTTCCTCCGTCAGCCATGTGTGTTGTAAGAGGCAACTAAAAAGCAGGGAGCAAGGGGCTAGTAACCCCTTCTGTATAAATTACTAAATTTAAGAGAGAAACTTTCATTTTTCTTTTTGGGCCACCCTGCCTCAGTGGGATACGGCCGGTGTGTTGAAAGAAAGATGATGATTTAACGTTTCTTACATTTCACAATTGAACACTTTTTTTTTTTTTTTTTTTTTTTTTTGTGTGTGTGTGTGTGTGTGTGTGTGTGTGTGTGTGTGTGTGTGTGTGTGTTGTGTGTGTGTGTGTGTGTGTTTGTGTGTTTTCTCTTTGCTAGTGTATTCCTGTACTTATGTGCATTAAGTTTTCAGCCCCAGGTGTATACCTTACACTTTCTTTAAGGGACGAGTAATAAAGTACTGAAATAATAAAGCTCTCTACATTTATATTGTTCTATTCACTTTACTTGTCTGTTAGCTTATTCTCAAAAAGTTTTAACATGAATCTAAATGAGAGAAAACCTATTACAGATGATTTAGACCAATGCAGGTGTTATCCCAATTAACTTATTACTTTGCTGATACAACTTCTACAGTAGCTAACACCACTGCCACCACCACCACCATCATCATCAGTCATCATCCCCATCCACATCCCCAGACCCTCCTGACATTCATCTTGATATTTTCATCATTGATTCGATTTCTAAGTTTTACCTCCCCCTTTTTTGTTTTTACAAGCTTTTCTGGGTTTCTCCCTATTTTCTTAGTTGTGACTTGAGAATGATGCAGAATGAACCAAAACATCGTCTAAAGTTTCCTCTCCAAAATGTATTGTTATTTGTAAATTGTTTCAAACTTTTATTCTACATAAACAGTGTCTAATATACAAAGTTGACCAGGAAACTGCTTGCATGGACAAATATGTTTGCATTTATGTGGATAACCCCTTTTTTTTTTTTTCTATTTATTTTTTGATAGTGTACACCCAAATTCAAACTACATTTATGCCCACAGATTTTGTATTTCTTTTTGTTTCTCATTTTATTATAGCACTATGCAAAATCCTCTAATATGAGAACCAAGACCACAAGAATGTCCTCAGTTGTTCATTTTAAATATATTTTTGACCAGAAATTCAGTTCCAGCTGAGGTGATCTTGAGAGATGTCTGCACTAGTTTGAGCCTTCAATTATTGTTCTTTCATGATTTTTTGCTTTAGTGTAGAATTTCAGAACTGATCTACATTCTCAGGAACTTTGCTTTATAATAATTGGATAAAATAGTATGGTCATCCTTTCCTTTGGCTTCAGAAAGTGTACAGTTATGTAAAAAATGTAAGGAGGGAGAGAGAAGTCTTTTAGACATAATTAACTCTGTGCACAAATGGAAAAATTTGTAAGTTTTCAACATATATGTAAGATTTTCACTTTAGTTTGTACTACTATGTATTTTTTGGTCAATTATATGATTTATGATGTGAAGACGTTTTTATGTGAAGTTCACTGAATCATCCACTCCATGTAGTTGGAAAGGGATCAGTGATAAAACATTAGAAATAGTATATTCATTATAAATTTACACTTAATATTTATACCAAATGAAATTAAACTGATTTAGTGTGTATTTTCAGACCTCGAAAGCCTCAATCCATATGTTTAGTGGCTCCACTGATTTCAAAACTGCCTAAAGCTGTGCAAGGAAGAGTCTTGAAAGTGGCAGGTAAGTCTTAAGTGTAACTTGTTAAGATAACTTCATATGTCTTGGGTACTGTATTAATTTTCCAAAGAGGGAGCCTCTTTGGTAAGGCATTAAATACCTGTATATTAAATGATATAAATTGTTTTTTTGTCACATGGTTTCATATATAAAACATATTGGGTGGAACTCATAATTATTGGAGCCATTTTGTGTCTGTTTATTAACAATAAAACATTTACAGAACACTATTAAATTATTTTTTTTATTATTAGTATAGGCAGTAAAGCATTTACAGGGCAATAGTTAGTAAATAAATGCCTGTTTATTTTTTTATTAGTAAAGTGGCAAAGGAAGTTTGAGTGTTAGGGGCTTGAGCATTCAGCACTCTTGTTTGAGCAAATTTGATTGGAGTCAGTGGAGACAAGTAATTTTTTTGGTTTAATATGCCATGGGAGTGTAAGGAAGGTAACATTCATGAAGGGATTCAGGAAAACCAGCGAGGTGGACTAAAGTCCTGGAGGTAGGAAGTACAGTATCTTTCCTCTGAAAGAGGTGTGGGGATGTTGCAGTTCAGAGGGTAATTTGAGTTGTAATGTCTGTGCACTTCTGGCAAGGCCAGGTAATTTGAATGAAGGAATGACAAGGAAGTCTCCAAATTGAAGAACATACAATTTAAAGCAGACTACTCGGTGAAAACTGGCAATGCCAGAGTATCTGGTGAAAAAGAGTATACACATCATACACACAATAGGTGAAGAGGTAACATTAGTGGAGATATATCAAAGGCAATGGGACTCGAGAAGGTGCCACCATGTATTATGGGAGGAGCAGAAACATTGTCGGAACCACTAGCTAAAATTTACAAGTCAGTGGACAGAGGATAGTTGCCATAGATCTGGAAGACGGCAAATATAGTCCATATATTTAAGAAAGGAGACAGGCAGGAAGCAATGAACTGCAGACCAGTTTCACACTCATACCATGCAAGGTAATGGAAAATATAATAAGAAACAAATTGGTAGAGCATTTGGAGAGAATATTTATTTTTTTATTATCACACTGGCCAATTCCCACCAAGGCAGGGTGGCCCAAAAAAGAAAAACTTTCACCATCATTCACTCCATCACTGTCTTGCCAGAAGGGTGCTTTACACTACAGTTTTTAAACTGCAACATTAACACCCCTCCTTCAGAGTGCAGGCACTGTACTTCCCATCTCCAGGACTCAAGTCCGGCCTGCCGGTTTCCCTGAACCCCTTCATAAATGTTACTTTGCTCACACTCCAACAGCACGTCAAGTATTAAAAACCATTTGTCTCCATTCACTCCTATCAAACATGCTCACGCATGCCTACTGGAAGTCCAAGCCCCTCGCACACAAAACCTCCTTTACCCCCCTCCCTCCAACCTTTCCTAGGCCGACCCCTACCCCGCCTTCCTTCCACTACAGACTGATACACTCTTGAAGTCATTCTATTTCGCTCCATTCTCTCTACATGTCCAAACCACCTCAACAACCCTACCTCAGCCCTCTGGACAACAGTTTTGGTAATCCCGCACCTCCTCCTAACTTCCAAACTACGAATTCTCTGCATTATATTCACACCACACATTGCCTTCAGACATAACATCTCCACTGCCTCCAGCCTTCTCCTTGCTGCAACATTCATCACCCATGCTTCACACCCATATAAGAATGTTGGTAAAACTATACTCTCATACATTCCCCTCTTTTCCTCCAAGGACAAAGTTCTTTGTCTCCACAGACTCCTAAGTACACCACTCACCCTTTTCCCCTCATCAATTCTATGATTCACCTCATCTTTCATAGACCCATCCGCTGACACGTCCACTCCCAAATATCTGAATACATTCACCTCCTCCATACCCTCTCCCTCCAATCTGATATCCAATCTTTCATCACCTAATCTTTTTGTTATCCTCATAACCTTACTCTTTCCTGTATTCACTTTTAATTTTCTTCTTTTGCATACCCTACCAAATTCATCCACCAATCTCTGCAACTTCTCTTCAGAATCTCCAAAGAGCACAGTGTCATCAGCAAAGAGCAACTGTGACAACTCCCACTTTATGTGTGATTCTTTATCTTTTAACTCCACACCTCTTGCCAAGAGCCTCGCATTTACTTCTCTTACAACCCCATCTATAAATATATTAAACAACCACGGTGACATCACACATCCTTGTCTAAGGCCTACTTTTACTGGGAAATAATTTCCCTCTTTCCTACATACTCTAACTTGAGCCTCACTATCCTCATAAAAACTCTTCACTGCTTTCAGTAACCTACCTCTTACACCATACACCTGCAACATCTGCCACATTGCCCCTCTATCCACCCTGTCATATGCCTTTTCCAAATCCATAAATGCCACAAAGACCCTTTAGCCTTATCTAAATACTGTTCACTTATGTGTTTCACTGTAAACACCTGGTCCACACACCCCCTACCTTTCCTAAAACCTCCTTGTTCATCTGCTATCCTATTCTCCGTCTTACTCTTAATTCATTCAATAATAACTCTACCATACACTTTACCAGGTACACTCAACAAACTTATCCCCCTATAATTTTTGCACTCTCTTTTGTCCCCTTTGCCTTTATACAAAGGAACTATGCATGCTCTCTGCCAATCCCTAGGTACCTTACCCTCTTCCATACATTTATTAAATAATTGCACCAACCACTCCAAAACTATATCCCCACCTGCTTTTAACATTTCTATCTTTATCCCATGAATCCCGGCTGCCTTACCCCCTTTCATTTTACCTACTGCCTCACGAACCTCCCCCACACTCACAACTGGCTCTTCCTCACTCCTACAAGATGTTGTTCCTCCTTGCTCTATACACGAAATCACAGCTTCCCTATCTTAATCAACATTTAACAATTCCTCAAAATATTCCCTCCATCTTCCCAATACCTCTAACTCTCCATTTAATAACTCTCCTCTCCTATTCTTAACTGACAAATCCATTTGTTCTCTAGGCTTCCTTAACTTGTTAATCTCACTCCAAAACTTTTTCTTATTTTCAACAAAATTTGTTGATAACATCTCACCCACTCTCTCATTTGCTCTCTTTTTACATTGCTTCACCACTCTCTTAACCTCTCTCTTTTTCTCCATATACTCTTCCCTCCTTGCATCACTTCTATTTTGTAAAAACTTCTCATATGCTAACTTTTTCTCCCTTACTACTCTCTTTACATCATCATTCCACCAATCGCTCCTCTTCCTTCCCGCACCCACTGAACACTCCAACACTACATTTTTAAACCTACCCCATACCTCTTCGACCCCATTGCCTATGCTCTCATTAGCCCATCTATCCTCCAATAGCTGTTTATATCTTACCCTATCTGCCTCCTCTTTTAGTTTATAAACCTTCACCTCTCTCTTCCCTGATGCTTCTATTCTCCTTGTATCCCATCTACCTTTTACTCTCAGTGTAGCTACAACTAAAAAGTGATCTGATATATCTGTGGCCCCTCTATAAACATGTACATCCTGAAGTCTACTCAACAGTCTTTTATCTACCAATACATAATCCAACAAACTACTGTCATTTCGCCCTACATCATATCTTGTATACTTATTTATCCTCTTTTTCCTAAAATATGTATTACCTATAACTAAACCCCTTTCTATACAAAGTTCAATCAAAGGGCTCCCATTATCATTTATACCTGGCACCCCAAACATACCTACCACACCCTCTCTAAAAGCTTCTCCTACTTTAGCATTCAGGTCCCCTACCACAATTACTCTCTCACTTGGTTCAAAGGTTCCTATACATTCACTTAACATCTCCCAAAATCTCTCTCTCTCCTCTACATTCCTCTCTTTTCCAGGTGCATACACGCTTATTATGACCCACTTTTCGCATCCAACCTTTACTTTAATCCACATAATTCTTGAATTTACACATTTATATTCTCTTTTCTCCTTCCATAACTGATCCTTCAATATTACTGCTACCCCTTCCTTTGCTCTAACTCTCTCAGATACTCCAGATTTAATCCCATTTATTCCCCCCACCGAAACTCCCCTACCCCCTTCAGCTTTGTTTCGCATAGGTCCAGGACATCCAACTTCTTTTCATTCATAACATCAGCAATCATCTGTTTCTTGTCATCCGCACTACATCCACGCACATTCAAGCATCCCAGTTTTATAAAGTTTTTCTTCTTCTCATTTTTAGTAAATGTCTACAGGAGAAGGGGTTACTAGCCCATTGCTCCCGGCATTTTAGTAGCCTCATACGACACGCATGGCTTATGGAGGAAAGATTCTTTTCCACTTCCCCATGGACAGTAGAAGAAATAAAGAAGAACAAGAGCTATTTAGAAAAAGGAGAAAAACCTAGATGTATGTATATATATATATATATATGCATGTGCGTGTCTGTGAAGTGTGACCAAAGTGTAAGTAGGAGTAGCAAGATATCCCTGTTATCTAGCATGTTTATGAGACAGAAAAAGAAACCAGCAATCCTACCATCATGCAAGACAGTTACAGGTTTCTGTTTCACAGTCATCTGGCAGGACGGTAGTACTTCCCTGGGTGGTTGCTGTCTACCAACCTACTACCTATATTTGGAGAGAAGTGGTTTCATAAACAATAACCACCATGGGCTCAGAGATGGCAAATCTTGTCTTGGTAACCTGTTGGAGTTCTATGTAAAAATAATGGAAGTGAGACAGGAGAGGGAGGGATGGGTGGAATGACCTTGATAAAGAAGCAGTGGAGGCAGGCTTCATACCTAGTTTTAAGAACAGGTATGGTAGGGCTTATGACACTAGGAGAGAGTGAATCTGGTAAGTGGCATATTGAGAGGCAAGGCCAGGTACTGATATTTGACCCTTGCAACTACAACTACGTGAGTGCAAATAGGTGAGTTGATGAGGACTTGTACATTGTATTGCAAAGAACTGTACAAAATTTTGAGTAGAGAAATGAAAATATAATTTAAGATTACAAATATTCAGTATTTAGTATCACATACATTATTAGTAAACATTTGTTTGTTGCAGGTCAAGTTCTTGAGTCAGTGAATTTTGGGGCCTATTCTGGTAATTCCAAGCCAACAGATGATGAGAATGCAACAGGTGAGGGACCTGTAGCAAGTCCTCCACCAAGTCACAGTCAACCCAGTAGTGTGAGTAGCAGTAATGGAATGGAAAATCCTCCTGGAGGAAGATCACTGGGACACTGGCCGCTGGCATCTCACCGGCCATTTCTTCAACTTGTGCTCATGTGCCTTGATGGTCAGGATGATCAGTTAACTGAACTACTTGAATCTCTCAGGACACAGCTCACACAGTCTCTCTTCTCTCCTAAAGAGGTATGACATTGACAATGTACACATATATGTTGTGTTATACTCTTGCAAATTTGTAAACATTTCATCCATTTTTGTGATGGTCAGAATTACTTGCAGATTATTTCATTAAATGTCTGCATAATACTGCAGATTATTTAATTAAATGTCTGCATAATGCTGTTAGTTCTTCCTTACCCAAAAAGGTAGTGATTTTGTATTAAATTATTTAATATTTTACCTGGTTGTATATTAACATTATTTAATTAATTAGGAAAAACCTGGGGCTCTTCAAGTGACATTTCCTGAAGATGGCAGAAGCCGTCAACTGATGCTGGAGGCCTTGAGCCTGAGATTTGCCCTTGTAGGAGGCCTCTTTGACGTGATAACTTCTTCTTATTCAAACTCTATTATAACTGAGTGGGCTCTGCTCCTAGTTAATCTCATTATATTTGCTGTGATTGATCTCTCCAATAATAGGTGAGTAGCATTATAAATAGTTCCACTTGTATTGTACACTACAGGTAGGACATAAGAACTTCAAATCCGTACATAAAAATTAATCTTTTTGGACCATACACAAATAACCCGCACATAGAAGAGAAGAGCTTACGGTGACGTTTCGGTCCGACAGTCACTGTCTGGTTGAATCCTTCCTAATACACAACTTTCCTTGTATGAATCTTAGTCCCGGCTTCGTCTCTGTAGATGCCTTCCTCTCCCACTACATTGTAAAATGCTCCTCCTTTTTTCTTCTTCTCTCTCTTCCCCTTTCCTTTTTGCTCCTTGGGTTGTCTTTCTTCTGCCCTGTGTATTTGTTCTTTCTTTATCTACTTATTTATTTGTTTTCCTCCCTCTGTGTTCTTGCTCTTACACTCTGTGGGCACCAGCTCCCTTGCAGTGCTCCTCTTTCTTAGTACAGTGGACCCCCGCATAACGATCACCTCCGAATGCGACCAATTATGTAAGTGTATTTATGTAAGTGCGTTTGTATGTGTATGTTTGGGGGTCTGAAATGGTCTAATCTACTTCACAATATTTCTTATGGGAACAAATTCGGTCAGTACTGGCACCTGAACATACTTCTGGAGAGAAAAAATGTCGTTAACCGGGGGTCCACTGTATTTGATTGGACCCCCTCCTACTCTTACTGCCTCCCTACTACTACTTCCTTCCACCTCCACTACTGCCACTACTACTACCACTACCACCTGCCTATATATACCCATACTGCTCTCCTTCTCGTTAGTGTGACTTTGTAAATGGTCCAAGTCAGACCGAAACCTCGTCGTAAGCTCCTCTCTTCTATGTTCGGGTTATTTGTGTATCGTTCCAGTCATGGTATTGTGCCTTTTTATGTTATTCTTTTTGGGCCACCCTGCCTCGGGGAATTACGGCTGGTTTGTTGAAAAAAGGAGTTTCAAAATTTTCTTGTATGACTTTAGTAACTGAATACTGAAGAAGGAGTTTAAAGCCCTTTGCTTCTGGAATTTTGGTCACCTTTTACAACATTCATGGCTTACTGGGAAAGAATTCCAGCACAATACAAGAGGGCCCTGGCTTACAGCACTTCTCTTATTGGCGTTTCACTGATACAGATATTTCAAATTATAACCAAAATTTTTTTTATATGGTTCCTGATTTGCTATCACTGCCTAAGCTCCCGGCTGGGCGTTCACACATCATTTTCTTTCTCTCAGTTTGTTTATATCCTCTGTGAGCTCTGCATCTCTGGATTCTGTCTGGAAACCTTCCAGAGTTTCGAGTGTTTTAAAGTTATTGCGTATTTTATATATACATGCTCTTTTTATGTTAAAATAGCATCTAAGGGTAGTTGTGATAAAAAGAGGAGTCGTCTTACTTTAAGTGCCAAGTTAGAAATGATTATACTCGGTGAGCAAAGTATGTCTGTGGGAGAGATAGTGCTGATAATTGTACTTATGTGTACCTGTACCTAAATAAACTTAAACACTGTAGAGTAGGAGTAGCTATGCCAGGTGAAGAAGTAGCTAAGAGTGTCTCACTGGTGTTGAAGACACAGTAACATAAGGAGCATAATAATAATAATAATACTCCATGGGAAAGTGGAACAGAATTCTTCCTCCATAAGCCATGCGTGTCATAAGAGGCGACTAACATGCCGGGAGCAAGGGGCTAGTAACCCCTTCTCCTGTATACATTACTAAAGTTCAAAAGAGAAACTTTTTTTTTCTTTTCGGTAACCCTGCTTCAATGGGATGCAGCTGGTGCATTAAAAGAAAGAAGAATAATAATAATCTCTTTGGAGCACTCTAAATGTCATATATTATGTTAGACATTTTCATTAATCCATCTATGACAATTTTTTCAAAATTATATGAGAAATATGCTATGTATCATATAAACATAATACGTACAACCATACTAGAACAAATTGACATCATTGTGGGGTATGGTATCCTGGCGACTCGTAGGAGTGTATGGCAAAAATTACAATAAGATGTTCTCTATACATGTAGTTCAATACCTCCAGAGAAACTGTTTATTAATAAGGATAACTGAAGAAAAACACTCCTAAGTAGCCTGGAACCTAACCCACTGTGTACTCAGGGCCCTCCTCTGTGTGTGTGTGTGTACTCACCTAGCTGAGGTTGCAGGGGTCAAGTCCAAGCTCCTGGCCCATGTACTCACCTAGTTGTACTCACCTAGTTGAGGTTGCGGGGGTCGAGTCCGAGCTCCTGGCCCCGCCTCTTCACTGATCGCTACTAGGTCACTCTCCCTGAGCCGTGAGCTTTATCATACCTCTGCTTAAAGCTATGTATGGATCCTGCCTCCACTACATCGCTTCCCAAACTATTCCACTTACTGACTACTCTGTGGCTGAAGAAATACTTCCTAACATCCCTGTGATTCATCTGTGTCTTCAGCTTCCAACTGTGTCCCCTTGTTACTGTGTCCAATCTCTGGAACATCCTGTCTTTGTCCACCTTGTCAATTCCTCTCAGTATTTTGTATGTCGTTATCATGTCCCCCCTATCTCTCCTGTCCTCCAGTGTCGTCAGGTTGATTTCCCTTAACCTCTCCTCGTAGGACATACCTCTTAGCTCTGGGACTAGTCTTGTTGCAAACCTTTGCACTTTCTCTAGTTTCTTTACGTGCTTGGCTAGGTGTGGGTTCCAAACTGGTGCCGCATACTCCAATATGGGCCTAACGTACACGGTGTACAGGGTCCTGAATGATTCGTGTGGTGTGACTGTGTGTGTGTGACTGTGTGTGTGTGTGTTGACTGTGTTGTGTGTGTGACTGTGTGTGTGTGTGTGTGTGACTGTGTGTTAGTTACCATTTTGTCCTAGGCACATGTCGATTAGACACTAGGCCTGTTGTATATGCGTGTGTGTGTGTGTGTGTGTGACTGTGTGTGTGTGTGTGTGACTGTGTGTGTGTGTGTGGTGACTGTGTGTGTGTGTGTGTGACTGTGTGTGTGTGTGTGTGTGACTGTGTGTGTGTGTGTATGTGTGTGTGTGAGAGAGAGAGTGAGGGAGAGTGAGAGAGAGTGAGAGTGAGAGAGAGTGAGCATGAGAGTGAGAGAGTGAAAGTGAGAATGAGTGTGAGTGAGTGAGTGAGTGAGAGAGAGAAATGCTGGTGGCTTGATCTTCTTTAATAACCTTTTCAGGGTTGCGACCCCGGCTTTTATACTTGCTCTCAGGGTTACAAAATTTAAAAAAAAAAAATTATTTTCTTATGGAATGGTAGAGAATCTTTTCTGAGGGTATTAAAAAGAAAAAATACTAAATTTGATGGAAAACTTAAGAAATTACGCTTTTGTGAATTTTGCTGTGTCAGTGATGTTTACACATCGGCGATTTTGTCCTTTTTGAATCTGATTTTAGCCCTATTCTTAGCTATTTCACTAGCATGTCTGAGTACAAGAAACTGCCCATTCAACTGTTTAAACTACCCAGTAAAGTGATCAGAAATTGGTAATTTGGCCAATTTCACACAAAAATTAAAAAAGTGCCCGTTTCGAAATAGGGTCCAGAATAAACAATGCAGACATTCCTGGCAATACATTTTCTTTGTTCATTAGTCATGTCTCCAGACCCCTCTTATATTACACTTGCTTTCCATTTTGAATTTTTATTCACACAAAAGAAAAGAAGATTTTCTGTTATGTAGATTACTGCATTGTTGTAATAATTGTATAAATAATGTCAGTACATTCCTAAATGCATATTAGACTGGCCAGTTGGACATGTATTGGACAAGTGATGTCATTTGTGTACTCTGGAATATTGGCAAACATCAAACATTTCCACTACTTTGAGCTCAATTTCAAACTACTTTCAGTCCTGAAACCAGCCAGAATCATCTCTATTTCTGTAATATATTTTCCATTCTGTCAAATGAGATGAATAAACTGAGAATACAGCCACAAAACCATACAAAAATACACTGCAGTCATTGTTTTAAACTAAAAACACGGTCGCAGTTTTTTATTATTATGCACCGCTTGCTGCAGGATTTTTTTTATATGGTGCACACTTACCGCATAGACCCATTCTCTCATATCTAGGTCCATATTTACTGCTCGCAGGTTATCTGAATGAGCTGAGCTCATGGCATTGTACTATGAGACCAACACAGGCTTCAAAGCTGTGATACAATGGGACTGGCCCTCATCTGAATTCCCAGATGAGACTGGCAAGCATGGGAAACTGGTAATAGCAACACATGTGTGAGCATGGTTAATAAGAATGATTGGAAACGAGTGGTTTTTTATGTTGTGTGAACAAGGTAACTCTTATGAAGGGGTTCAGGGAAAACTGGTTAGCTAGACTTGAGTCGTGGAGGTGGGAAGGGCAGTGCTTGGACTGAAGGAGAGGATGGAGATGTTGCAGAGGGTAATCTGATTATGATGTCAGCACTTCTGGAAAAACAGTGATTGGATGATTGATGATTAATGTGTTCTTTTCTTCGGATCACCCTACCTTGGTGGGAGATGGCCGTTAAATTAAAAAAAAATGTTATGTGATTTTGTAATTTATGCTAAGTACTATTAAGTCTCTACATTACTGTACATTATTTTTCACAGTGAACTCTTCAACACAGTACTGGACATGTTAGCAACACTAATTCATTCCACTTTAATGTCTGACGGACCATCTGAATCTCGTGAAGAGAACAGAAGACATTACTACAATCTAGTCAAAAAGGTTAAAAAGGTAAGGCAGTGTAAAATTGGTGTAGGTGGGATTTTGCAAAAATTGGTAATGGGTGCAGTTTTTTTTTTATACAGCCCAGAATTCTAGAATGATATTTTGCTCTGATATCTCAGTGTGTTAAGCAACAGAATTTTGGTAGCCCCTATGAGGAATTATCTCTGAGACTTCATATTCCTGTTGATTCCAAAGGTGTGAATGAAGATGCATTTTTTTATTCAGTATATTATGCCATTATATTCCAATACATGTAGAATAATAAAAGTATTAGTCAGAGGGCTGAAGAGGGGTTGTTGAGGTGCTTTGGTCATTTAGAGAGAAGGGATCAAAGTAGAATGACATGGAGAGTGTATAAATCTGTAGGGGAAGGAAGGCGGGGTAGGGGTCATAATCAAAAAAGTTGGAGAGAGGGGGTAAAGGAGGTTTTGTGGGCTAGGGGTTTGGACTTCCAGCAAGCGTGCATGAGCATGTTAGGAGTGAATGGAGATGAATGGTTTTTGGGATCTGATGAGCTGTTGGAGTGTGAGCAGGGTAATATTTAGTGAAGGGATTCAGGGAAACTGGTTATTTTTATATAGCCGGACTTGAGTAATGGAAATGGGAAGTACAATGTGTGCACTTTAAAGGAGGGGTTTGGGATATTGGCAGTTTGGAGGAATATGTTATAATCTTTATTTTTTATTTTATTTAAAAAAAAAAAAAATATATAATCTTTATATATGCTTCTAAACTGTTGTATCTGGGCACCTCTGCAAAAACAGTGATTATGTATGAGTGAGGTGAAAGTGTTGAATGATGATGCAAATATTTTTCTTTATGGCGATTTTTGAGTCACCTTGCCTCAGTGGCAGACGGCCAACTTGTTGAAAAAAAAAAAAAAGTGTAGAAGAGAGGGAGATTACTTCCTGGTAAAAGTAGGTCTTAGACAGGGATGTGTAATGTCACCATTGTTGTTTAATATATTAATAGGTAGGGTTGTAAAAGTAGTAAATGCTAGGGTATTGAGGAGAGGGGTGGGATTAAATTATGGGGAATCAAATACAAATTGGGAATTGACACAATTACTTTTTGCTAATGATACTGTGCTTATGGGAGATTCTAAAGAAAAGTTGCAATGGTTAGTGGACTTTTGGCATGTACAGCCAACTATTATATTCTTTTGTACAACCATGTATCATGACAAAAATTATTATAATTATTATTTTTTTCAACCCATCGGTCGTCTCCCACTGAGGCAGGATGACCCAAAAAGAAAGAAAATCCCCAGAAGGAAATACTTTCAATCATCATTCAACACTTTCACCTCACTCATACATAATCACTGACTTTGCAGAGGCACTCAGATACGACAGTTCAGAAGTCCCTCCAAACTGCCAATATCCCAAACCCCTCGTTTAAAGTGCAGACATTATACTTCCCATTTCCAGGACTCAAGTCCGGCTCACCGGTTTCCCTTAATCCCTTCACAAAATATTACCCTGCTCACACTCCAACAGCTCGTCAGATCCCAAAAACCATTCGTCTCCATTCACTCCTATCTAACACACTCATGCATGCTTGTTGGAAATCCAAGCCCCTCACCCACAAAACCTCCTTTACCCCCCCTCTCCATCCTTTTCGAGGATGACCCCTACCCCGCCTTCCTTCCCCTACAGATTTATACATTCTCCAGGTCATTCTACTTTGATCCATTCGCTCTAAATGACCAAACCACCTCAACAACCCCTCTTCAGCCCTCTAATACTTTTATTAACTCCACACCTCCTAATTTCCACACTCCGAATTCTCTGCATAACATTTACATCACACATTGCCCTTAGATAGGATATATCTGCTGCCTCCAGCCGCCTACTTGTTGCAGCATTTTCAGCCCAAGCTTCACACCCATATAAGAGTGTTGGTACCACTGTGCTTTCATACATTCCCTTCTTTGCCTCCATGGATAACCTTTTTTTGTCTCCACAGATACCTCAACGCATCACTAACCTTTTTTCCTTCATCAATTCTATGGTTAACCTCATCCTTCATAAACCCATCCACTGACAAGTCAACTCCCGAATATCTGAAAGCAATTACTTCTTCCATACTCCCTCTCTCCAGTGTGATATCCAATTTTTCTTTATCTAAATCATTTGATACCCTCATCACCTTACTCTTATCTATGTTTATTTTCAACTTTCTACCTTTACATACCCTCCTAAACTCGTCCACTACCCAGATGTTGCACATGTGTCTCAATTTCATCTTGTTGGAATTATATACCATTCTTGTACAACCTGTGAGACACTGCAACATCATGGAATCTTGATTCTGAGGACATGTACATAACCTTCACGACTACGACAACTACTACTACTACTACAACTAACCCATCTCTTTGGGTAGGACCTACTTCCACTGGGGAATCCCACCTACCAGTGACTATGCCCTCGTCTGCTACCCATCCCATTTCCACCTAACATTACTATATAAACGTCAGGCGCCTTGCTTCTGCTTCAGAATCTCCACGACTGTGTTGCTCTTCGCACCTACTGCTAGGTTGAGGGACTGATTACCTCATCTTCTGTACATAGTTCTCCTGTCTTCAAGTTATGTCCTGGAATTTGTATTGATAAAGCCACTGGATGGCGAAACATCTACAATAAAGATACCCAGATGTTGCACATGTTTCTCAATTTCATTTTGTCGGTATTATATACCATTCTTGTACAACCTGTCAGACACTGCAACATCATGGAGTCTTGATTCTGAGGACATGTACATAACCTTCACGACTACGACAACTACTACTACAACTAACCCATCTCTTTGGGTAGGACCTACTTCCACTGGGGAATCCCACCTACCAGTGACTATGCCCTCGTCTGCTACCCGTCCCATTTCCACCTGACGTTACTATATAAGCGTCAGGCGCCTTGCTTCTGCTTCAGAATCTCCATGACTGCAGTGCTCTTCGCACCTACTGCTAGGTTGAGGGCCTGATTACCTCATCGTTTGTACATAGTTCTCCTGTCTTCAAGTTATGTCCTGGAATTTGTATTGTTAAAGCCACTGGATGCCGAAACATCTACAATAAAGATACCAAATGTTGCACATGTGTCTCAATTTCATCAATAACTCTACTGTACACTTTATATGGTATACTCAGTAAACTTATTTCCCTATAATTTTTACATTCTCTTTTGTCCCCCTTCTCTTTATATAAAAGAACTATACACACTCTCTGCCAATCCCTAGGTACCTTCCCCTCTTTCATGCATTTATTAAACAAAAATACCAACCACTCCAACACTATATTATCCCCTGCTTTTAACATTTCTGTCATTATCCTGCCAGTTCCAGCTGCTTTACCCCCTTTCATTCTACATAATGCCTTGCACACCTCCCCCACACTCACATCCTGCTCTTCTTCACTCCTAAAAGATGTTGTACCTCCCTAGCCAGTGCATGAAATTACCACCTCCCTTTCTTCATTGACATTTAAGTCCCTCAAAATATTCCTGCTATCTACCCAATGCCTCAAGTTCCCCATCAGCTAACTCCCCTACTCTGTTTTTAACTGACAAATCCATTCGTTCCCTAGGCTTTCTCAACTTGTTTATCTCACTCCAAAATTTTTTATTATTTTCATCAAAATTTCTTGACAGTGCCTCTCCCACTCTATCATCTGCTCTTCTTTTGCACTCTCTCACCACTCTTCACCTTTCTTTTATTCTCCATATACTCTGCTCTTCTTATAAGACTTCTGCTTTGTAAAAACCTTTCATAAGCTTCCTTTTTCTCTTTTATCACATCCTTTACTTCATCATTCCACCAATCACTCCTCTTTCCTCCTGCCCCCACCCTCCTATAACCACAACCTTCTGCCCCACATTCTAATACTGCATTTTTAAAACTATCCCAACCCTCTTCAATCCCCCCCCCCCCCACTGTTCATACTTGCACTAATCCACCTTTCTGCCAGTAATTGCTTATATCTCACTTCCTAGCTTCCTCCTCCCTTAGTTTATACACTTTAACCTCTCTCTTACTTGCTGTTGCCATTTTCCTTATGTCCCATCTACCTCTTACTCTAACTGTAGCTATAACTAAATAATGATCCCATATATCTGTTACCCCTCTATAAACATGTACATCCTGAAGCCTACCCATCAACCTTTTATCCACCAATACATAATCTAACAAACTACTTTCATTACGTGCTATATCATACCTTGTATACTCATTAATCCTTTTTGTCATAAAATATGTACATATTACTCATTACCAAACCTCTTTCTACACATAGCTCAATTAAAGGCTCCCCATTTTCATTTATCCCCTGGCACCCTAAATTTGCCTACTACTCCTCCACAACATTTTTACCCATTTTAGCATTGAGATCCCCAACCACAAGTACTCTCTCACTTGGTTCAAAACTCCCCATGCACTCACTCAACATTTCCCAAAATTTCTCTCTCTCTCCTCTACACTTCTCTCTTCTCCAGGTGCATAATCACTTACTATAACCCACTTTTCACATACCTCCCTTATTTTACACCACATAATCCTTGCATTTATACATTTATATTCCCTCTTTTTCTGCCTTAACTTATCCTTCAACATTATTGCTACTCTGTCTTAAGCTCTAACTCTATTTGAAACCCCTAACTTAATCCCATTTATTTCTCCCCACTGAAACTCTCCTACCCCCTTCAGCTTTGTTTCACTTAACGCCAGAACATCCAGCTTCTTCTCATTCATAACATCCACAATCATCTCTTTCTTATCATTTGCACATCATCTCTGCACATTCAGACATCCCACTTTGATTTAAGAAAAGCTAAAAGGGACTATGAAATTAAAGTTGCTAGGGATTCTAAAACTAACCCAAAAAGTTTTTTCCAGGTATATAGAACAAAAGTCAGAGATAAGATAGGTCCCCTTAAAAATAGCTATGGGCATCTTACTGACAAAGAGAATGAAATGTGCTCGATTTTAAATAATTATTTTCTTTCGGTTTTTACACAGGAAGACACTAATAATATTCCGGTAATTAATTTTTATAGTGGGCCAGACGAAGATAAATTATGTAACATCACAGTCACTAGTGAAATGGTTGTGAAGCAGATAGACTGACTGAAGCAAAATAAGTCACCGGGTCCTGATGAGGTTTTTTCAAGGGCTCTTAAGGAATGCAAAATGGAACTCTGTGAACCATTAACTAATATTTTTAATTTATCTCTTCAAACAGGTGTAGTGTCTGATATGTGGAAGATGGCTAATGTAATTCCTATTTTTAAAACAGGGGACAAGTCGTTACCGTCAAATTACCGCCCAATAAGCCTGACCTCAATTGTAGGCAAATTACTAGAGTCAGTTATAGCTCAGACTCTAAGAAGCCATCTCGATAAGCATAGCTTGATTAATGATACTCAGCATGGATTCACAAGAGGCCGGTCTTGTCTAACTAATTTATTAACTTTCTTCAGTAAAGCTTTTGAGGCTGTTGACCACGATAAAGAATTTGATATTATTTACTTAGATTTTAGTAAGGCATTTGATAGAGTTCCGCACCAAAGACTGTTGAAGAAAGTAGCAGCTCATGGCATTGGGGGAAGGGTCCTCTCGTGGATCGAATCATGGCTCACAGACAGGAAGCAGAGAGTGTCCATAAATGGGGTTAAATCCGAGTGGGGATCAGTAACAAGTGGCGTTCCACAGGGATCAGTCTTGGGCCCGTTGTTGTTTATAATATATATCAATGATCTTGATGAAGGAATTACTAGTGATATGAGCAAATTCGCCGATGACACAAAGATAGGTAGGATAATTGATTCAAACGTAGATGTTAGGGAACTTCAGGAGGATTTAGACAAACTCTATTCTTGGTCAGAAAAGTGGCAGATGCAGTTCAGTATAGATAAATGCAAGGTTCTGAAGCTCGGGAGTGTCCATAACCCTAGCACTTATAAGTTAAATAATGTAGAACTTAGCCATACAGATTGCGAAAAGGACTTGGGGGTTATGGTAAGCAGAAACCTTAACCCTTTCAGGGTCCGTCCCGTAGATCTACGGCTTTACGTTCAGGGTCCAAACCGTAGATCTACGCCATGAGCTCAGCTCACTCTGATAAACTGTGAGTAGTACATTTGGGCCTAGATATGAGAGAATACATCTATGTGGTATGTGTGCACCACATAAAACAGATCCTGCAGCACACTGTGTATAATGAGAGAAAAAAAATGAAATCATGATTTTTCGATTAAAACAGCAACTTTGCAGTGTTTTTTCGTATGTTTTTTATAGTTGTATTTGCGATTTCTTGGTCTCATTTGATAGAATGGAAGACATATTACAGAAATAGAGATGATTTTGATTGGTTTTAGCACTGGAAATGGCTGAAACTGAGCTCAAAGTAGCGGAAATGTTAAATTTTTGCCGATATTCAAGAGTAAACAACGACCTCACACGTCTAATACACGTCAGCTGGTGGGTCTAATATACATTCACAAATATGGTGATGATATTTATACAATTATTACAGTATTGCATAACAGTAAATCTTCTATTTTTTGGTGTGAATAAAAATTCATTATGTGAATAAAAAATCAAAATGGAATTTATTTGTAAAGCCTCAAAACATAACTAATGAACAGAGGAAATGTTAGTTTAGTGCCAGGAATGCCTACATTGTTTATTCTGGACCCTATTTTGAAATTGGAATATTTTGAACTTTGTGTTAAATTGGCCAAATTAACAATTTCCGATCACTTTATTTTGCAGTTGGAACAGTTGACTTGGCAATTTCTTGTGCTCAATCGATAGAATAGAAGTAATACTAGTGAAATAGCTAAGAATTTGGTTGATTGGAATAATGTAATTGGCCTAAAATGGGAGTCAAAGTCGGCAAAATCGCCGATTCGTAAATATCGCTGACACTTCAAAATTCGCGAGAGCATAATTTCACCAATTTTCCACCAAATTTCATACTTTTTGTTTTATTACCTTCACAAAAAGATTCTCTACGATTTCATAAGAAAAAATAACAAATTTTTTTTTTTGAAAATTCTTGGACACTGGTGCGTGACTCCAGATTTGGGCCTTGGACCCTGAAAGGGTTAAACCAAGACAGCAATGCCTAAGCGTATGTAATAAGGCAAATAGATTACTGGGATTTATATCAAGAAGTGTAAGCAACAGAAGTCCAGAGGTCATACTGCAGCTTTATACATCATTAGTAAGGCCTCACTTAGATTATGCAGCTCAATTCTGGTCTCCATATTACAGAATGGACATAAATTCATTAGAAAACATTCAGCATAGGATGACTAAATTAATACATAGCATTAGAAATCTTCCTTATGAAGAAAGATTGAAGACTCTTAAGTTACATTCACTTGTTAGACGAAGAATGAGGGGAGACCTGATCGAAGTGTATAAGTGGAAGATAGGTATTAATAAAGGGGATATTAATAAGGTCTTGAGGATATCTCTCCAAGAGAGAACCCGCAGTAATGGATTTAAATTAGATAAGTTTAGATTTAGAAAGGACACAGGAAAGTATTGGTTTGGAAATAGGGTAGTTGATGAGTGGAACAGTCTACCTAGTTGGGTTATTGAGGCTAAGACTTTGGGTAGTTTCAAATTTAGGTTGGATAAGCACATGAATGGGAGGGGTTGGATTTGAGTGGGATTTGCACATCAGAGCTTATTTTCTTGGGTAGCATAGAAAATTGGGTTGGGCAAATGTTTTGTTAGTGGGATGAATTGTAAAGGACCTGCCTAGTATGGGCCAACAGGCCTGCTGCAGTGTTCCTCCTTTCTTATGTTCTTATGTTCTATTTAGCAAGTTATACGGGAAAAGGGGTTACTAGCCCATTGTTTTCGGCATTTTAGTTGACTTTTACAACACACATGGTTTACGGAGGAAAGATTCTTATTCCACTTCCCCATGGATATGACAGGAAAAGCAATAAGAAAAGAACTATTAAGATAAAATCAATGAAAACTCAGATGAGTGTAGACACATAAATGTGTACATGTATGTGTAGTGTGACCAAAGTGTAAGTAGAAGTAGCAAGAAGCACCTGAAATCTTGCATGTTTAGGAGAGAGAAAAAGACACCAGCAATCCTACCATCATGTAAAAGAAATACATACAGGCTTCCTTTTTACACTCACTTGGTAGGATGGTAGTACCTCCCTGTATGGTTGCTGTCTACCAGTGGAAATACTGCCTGTGATCAGTGTATGATATATTTGTAGATGAATGGTTCAGAGAACCGACATGTTGATAAATTAGACACATGTGCAACTCTTGGGTATCTTTATTGAGGAAACGTTTCGCCACACAGTGGCTTCATCAGTCCATACAAAGGAGAATCTTGAAGAACAGGAGGAGAATGAGGTAATCAGTCCCTCAACCTAGAGTCGATGTGGTCAGTCCATGGACTGACCACATCGACTCTAGGTTGAGGGACTGATTACCTCATTCTCCTCCTGTTCTTCAAGATTCTCCTTTGTATGGACTGATGAAGCCACTGTGTGGCGAAACGTTTCCTCAATAAAGATACCCAAGAGTTGCACATGTGTCTAATTTATCATGATATATTTGTTATGCAGAGAACAAGAAATTAAGAAATGAAAATACTGGATGATAGTTTAGTCCTGTAAAAAAATGAAGATAGGTTCATTAAGGGGATGTATGTAAGAAGAGATGGTTGTGGAATGGTTGGAAAGAGGTATTTTTAGGTAGAGGACTAAACATCCAACAAGCATATGAAGGAGTTAAGTCAGGTTTAGTGGAGGCGAGTTAAATTTAGGAATTGATTTGCAATCTGAATATTGTTGTATGTAATGGTATTCAAGAAAACTGGTTAGTCAAGACTTAAATTTTATTGTATAATACCTTCACTTGATAAGACAAATGGGGACATTATGGTCAGTGAGTCATCACTGGACCACTATGTTTATGCTCTTCTGGAAAGACAGCTAAGAAACAATAGGCAAATGTTTTCTTTGGGCCACCTTGCCTTGGTGGGAAATGCTATTGCATTAAAGTGATGTTGGTGGGAGACAACAGATGTGTTAAAAAATGAAGTATACAGTATAACAAATATTTCCATTTGTTTCTTAGGAAATTGGGGAGCGTAACAATGTGTCATTGCGCTTGGTGCGACAGTTGATTCCACTGCCTAAGTTGCAGGCAGAGGTCATAACTCTTGAACCCTGGGGATCTGTCACAGACACTAAAGGCAATCGCTTACAAGAATTTGACAAGGACAAGAAACATGTAAGTCTCTAAGAATTAATGTAATATTTGCTAAGAAAGAATGATATATGTAATTATATAACCACATTATTTACATTCACTATAAACTTTCTTTTTTCTTTCCTGTGTGCTTCTTAATAGTACTTATTTCTATATTATTTACTTGCCAATTTAGGAGACCTGGGTCTGAAACTAGGTCATTGGGGTGAAGATTCCTGGAACCCTTAAGGATTAATCCTATCAATGGTTCCTGCTAGCACCACGTATATATACTGTGTATCCTTTAAGCTTCTCCATACATCACTATGAATTAAATATATGTACTAAAGTAAATAATGTAACTTTAAACAAACAAAAAATATATTTTAAAGAACTTGCTTTTAATCTAATAAGGTTTTAACTGTTTACCTGTCACTTTTTTAATGTCACTGAATTGCATTAAAGGGTTTGCAAGCAGCAGAGAAACAAAAGCTTAGTCCATGGGATATTTTAGATGGTCATCGTAATCCTGCTCCTCTGTCATGGGCATGGTTTGGTGCCACTAGACTTGAGCGCAAACCTCTCAAATATGAAGAAGCTCATCGACTACTAAGGTGAGCCATCATTATTTTTTCTTTAATAAGGAGATCTTTCCAGTTATTTGATTTGTAATAAAAACTGTACTACCTTACGTACAGTAGGTACTTAAGGTAGCTATATTTTTTTGCTATATTCCTCTATTTTAGGTGCCTTAAGTTGAAATCCCCCAGGAGCAAGATGTTGGGTGCAGGAGCTGGAAGATTTTCCACACAGTGGTCAATTTTTAACAGCTGTTCCTGGAATTGCTGGGATGTTGCATCCGGAGGCTTGTAGACTACCACAATGACTAGGTTTTGGTTCTTGACCTTTACTGCTAAAACTTCCACTACATCATTTGAGGCATTAAGCAGTTCTGTGCAAACAAGTGACTCTGCAATGTACAGGCCAACCCCCCCCCCCCCTTTTTTGCCTGTTCACTCTGTCACATCTGTATAGGTTTGTAACCTGGGATCCATATTTCGTTGTCCAAGTGATCCCTTATGTGGGTCTCAGTGAAAGCCGCGAACATTGCCTTTGCCTCTGCAAGCAGTCCACGGATGAAAGGTATTTTGTTGTTTGTTGCTGGCTTTAGACCCTGTATATTTGCAAAGAAGAATGTCATCGGACTGGTGGTATTGTTGGTACTGGGGGGGGGGATTTTTTTTTCGGCATTAGTATCTGTATCTGTAGGTTTGGAGTGGAGGCCATCGACTGTGGTTCCACTCCAGGAATGACTGGATTTGGTGTACGATTTCTGCCATTTCCTGCCAGTTTTTTTTCCTTCCTGGCACTAAAAAACCTCTCCCTCTTGAGTGGCTGTGACTACCCAGGTTTTCCCATGGCCTGGATGTTTTGTATCTTTTTGTCCCCTTTAGATGGTGTGCCTGGCAATTTAAGTTATAGCACAGTCTTTCCTGTACTGAAGAGGTACACAGTTCAGGGTGAAAAAGCTTACAGGAAGGGAGTTTGCATTTTCCTGTTGTCATATGGGCATGGCATTTTCTAGGGTGGGCATAGTTGCACGTCCCGTCTGTTTTTCCAGATTTCCCATGCCTCAACATCCTTTGTTCCAACAAAAGATCATGCACTTCATCAGTTACCAGTGCTGCTTGCTGCTTTACCCACTTGATCAGTCACTTGTGCTGCTTGCTTCTTACCCACTTGTGCTGCTTATTATTTGCATTAATGTGACCACTACTAAATTATTTGCTAAAAATTGGTAAATTATAGTTATTATAACTATTTTCTCTACTATATTTGCAAGTACAAGGTTTTATAGGCATTTTTAATTATCTTTAATATGACAATAATGTAACCCAGATAAATCCTACAAATTCGTGAAGGAAATAATTGAAGAGACTTTTTACATCTTGCAGAGAGTTTGTCAAACATTTGAACTGTAGTGATTAGATGGTGAATGAATGAATGATGTGCATCTGGAATGACAACATTGACATGATTGATATGATCATCATAAGGCTCACTAGAAATAACAAAAAAAAGGCACAATACCGTGATTGGAACTATACACAAATAACCCGCACATAGAAGAGAGGAGCTTATGAGACGTTTCGGTCTGACTGGGACCATTTACAAAGTCACACTAACGAGAAGGAGAGCAGGATGGGTATATATAAGCAGGAGGTGGTAGTGGTAGTAGTGGAGGTGGAAGAAAGTAGTAGTGGGGAGGTAGTAAGAGTAGGAGGGGCCAATCAAATACTAAGAAAGAGGAGCACTGCAAGGGAGCAGGTGCCCACAGAGGGTAAGAGCAAGAACACAGGGGGGAGGGAAACAAATAAATAAGTAAATAAAGAAGGAACGAATACACAGGGCAGAGGAAAGACAACCAAAAGGAGAAAAAGGAAAAAGGAAAGGAGAAGAAAAAAGGAGGAATCAGGTTAAGTCACGAGTGTTCTGAAGTTTGGAGCATTTTACAATGTAACCTGATTCCTGATTCATGATCTAACCTGATTCCTCCTTTTTTCTTCCTCTCCCTCTTCCCCTTTCCTTTTTCCTTTTTCTCCTTTGGGTTGTCTTTCTTCTGCCCTGTGTATTTGTTCCTTCTTTATTTACTTGTTTTTCTTCCCCTCTGTGTTCTTGCTCTTACCCTCTGTGGGCTCCAGCTCCCTTGCAGTGCTCCTCTTTCTTAGTATTTGATTGGCCCCTCCTACTCTTACTACCTCCCCACTACTACTTCTATCCACCTCCACTACTAATACCACTACCACCTCCTGCCTATATATACCCATCCTGCTCTCCTTCTCGTTAGTGTGACTTTGTAAATGGTCCAAGTCGGACTGAAACATTGTCGTAAGCTCCTCTCTTCTATGTGCGGGTTATTTGTGGCTCACTAGATGCATTTTTGATAATAAATGGGCTAGAGATTTCATGATTTTCACCAATTTTAGGAGTTATAGTATATATATATATATTTTTTGCAGAATTGGCCATTTCTCACTATGAAAGTGAAACCCAAAGAAAGAGAGACATTTCACCATCACTCATTTAATAACTATTCTGCCAAAAGTGTGCAGATACCACAGTTTGAATGACCTTTTGAATTGCAACATCCCTAAACATTCATCAGGGTAAACCATACCATGGGCGGGATTTGAACCCGCAGTCAGAGAGTCGCTAACGTGATGGTCTGGAGTTTTGAGACTCTCTGACCGCGGGTTCAAATCCCGCCCATGGTATGGTTTGTTTGCAATCGTGTCATTACGATTTCGTGAGTCATCCTTCAGGGTGCAGGCACTATACCTAACATGCTCCAGGACTCAAGTCCAGTTAGCCAGTTTCCCAGTTATTTATACCAGTTTTATTCAATTAAAAGCTCTTATTGTTATATAAAAATTATGTCTGGCTCTTCTTTTCCAGTTCCATGGACAAGGTGGTTAGAGTTATTGCTCTGTAAACCATACATACCATGGTTTTGGTGGGGCCTGAACTTGTGGCAAGTGAGTCATAAAACCCCAGGCCAGCGTGTAAGCCACCTTCTGCAAGTTCAAGCCCCACCCATACCATGGTTTGTTTACAGTTGTCTTATTACGATTTCATGAGTCAAACCATGCAGGTCATAGAATGTGACTCAAATGCTGAGAGCAGTTATCTGAAAATCCTCCCTTTTTTATGCAGTTCCTAATAAAAAAAAATTAATATTTTGGAAAGTGAGTGTATTTTTTCTCTATGGGTCTCCCTGCCTTTGTAGGAAATAGTCGATGAACTAAATCTTTTTAATCCTTTTTCTTACATTGTATTTTACTTCTGTTTTACATGTTGTAGATTCCATACACATACAGTGACGAAGCCTGTAGCCTTTTACCTTGAACCTCCTCCACTACCTCCAGAAGATTTGGAGCCTGTAACAGACAAGCAGGTAAGTCATTTAAGATCTCTAGATATTACATCATCTTTCATGCATGACTATTCTCGTCACTCTATTTGTGCTTTAAAATTGTTGAGTTTTTATATTTCTTTGGTTAATGTGCTTAAAATTTTTGTTTTCTTTATTATAGCAGGTGAAGGAAGAAGTGAAAGCTCCAGATACCCCTACCTCAGACCAGTCACCACGAGCTGCATCAAAACGTGGAGGCAAAGCGCAGCGTAACAGGCGACGAGCGCCCAGACAAGTGGCCAGTGTCAACAACATGGCTAGTGTAAGTGTTTTTTTTTTTTTTTTTAACACACCAGCTGTCTCTCACCAAGACAGGGTGACCTGAAAAAGAAGAAATTCTTTCATAAAATTTTTCTTCTTTTTACATATAGTAATATATTGTACTTATCTTAGCTAAATTGTTTCTTTGGGTACTGTGTGTATATTTTTAGGTGGTTCGAACATGTAGAGAGAATGGAACAAAGCAGAATGACTTCAAGAGTGTATAAATCTGTATTGGAGGGAAGGCAGGGTAGGGGTCAGCCTAGGAAGGGTTGGAGGGAGGGGGTAAAGGAGGTTTTGTGTGCGAGGGGCTTGGACTTCCAGCAAGTGTGCATGAGCGTATTTGATAGGAGTGAATGGAGACAAATAGTTTTTAATACTTGACATGCTGTTGGAGTGTGAGCAAAGTAACATTTATGAAGGGATTCAGGGAAACCGGAAGGCCGGACTTGAGTCCTGGAGATAGGAAGTAGTGTCTGCACTCTGAAGGGTGGGTGTTAATGTTGCAGTTTTATAATTGTAGTGTAAAGCACCCCTCTGGCAAGACAGTGATGGAGTGAATGATGATGAAAGTTTTTCTTTTTTGGGCCACCCTGCCTTGGTGGGAATTGGCCGATGTGTTAACAAAATAATTATATGTGAGAAAAAATGCAGTTTAATAAAGAAGGAATGGAGAGTAAAATGGATATGACAGAAAATAGGAAGTTTGTAATATGGAAGAATATTTGGATAAAAAATCACCAGGAATATTAATAAAGCCTGAACATCCCAAGTGGTAATGCCTCCTCCCATTTTTGCCAACTTTCAGTGTTTGGAAACAAATAAAAATTACAAAGTTAACTACACAAATGGGCTCCTCACAGAAGCTAATACACACTTTGTCATGAGCATTCACAAGGGACATTTTGGACAGTGAGGTATGGGTCAAAAATTACGTACAATATTTATATATGTGAGAGAGTAAGTAAGTCACAGGGAGGAGTAGGGCTCTGTTAAAGACACACTATGCTGTGCTGAACTGAGTAATTCATCAAATAATACACTAGAAATGCTAGGTATTGAAGTGGAGAACAAAAATCTAATAATTATCTTTGTATAAACCACTGTCAGTAACAGCTAAGGAACTCACAGAGTCCTGAACACTCTAATCTACACCAGTGCATGGAAAGGTTAAATATAAATTATGTTCCACTGAGCCTACAAAAAAGCTGCAGAATAGAAAGGAAACATAAAGGAAAAAATAGTTATTGAATTGCTTAAAAACAAGAATATACATCACATTGAAGGAACGAGAGATTACTAATAAATAGCAAAAACTTAAACACTCATACCAGATGGAAGAAGCACAAAGAGAACAAAAACTATCCTAGGAATAACAAAAAAAAAAAAAAAAAAAAAAAAAGCTAAATATTTGTACAAAAATTAACATTTGCTAACGGGAAGTTCATACACTCAAAACGAAAAAGAAATGAGCAAAATCTCAAAAGACCAGTACGACTCAGTGTTCAGCAATACACTTAACAAAAGTGGAGTGAAGCATACATAAAACTTTTTTCATTACCTCTGACTGCCCTATGAATTATATAAATATCTTAAGCACTAATCCCATAGAATTAAAAAAAAAAAGAAATAAAAAATGGGCTGGATTTGGGGAGTTTCTTATTTATGAAGAAGTGTAAAGTACTGTTAGCACGAACACTCGATATTCTTTGAAAAAAAAATGAACTTATATCAATGTAAAATCCCAGAGGCCTTAAAAAAGTGCAGCCATATTTCTCTTAGAGTACTCATGGCTGTGTTCTTTTTCTACTCACTGTCTTGATGTGTGCAAGTAGATGTTTCTAGGACTGCATATTGATTTGATGTAGTTTTTTCATGCATTTAAAAATATTTCATGTTTGCTTTTAAGATTATTGATTTTACTATTTAATAAGAGTACATTTGTACTACAATATGACGAAACAAACCTATGGCATTCAAATGGTGGCTTTTGTATATTACTATTGTATACCAGTATGTGTCATTATTTGAACCCCTTTTGACGTACAACAATTTTACTTTTGCTTTTTATATCTGATAATGATCCCTTAACCCTTAAACGGTCCAAACATATATATATATATACGTTCTCTCGCCCAGTGCCCTGAAATATTTAAAAAAATAAAAAAATGTTTTTTTTTTTCCATTGAAACACAGAGAAAAATTTTCTAAGTGTGATAGGATTAAAATAAAAAAAATAGGGTCAGTACTTACTGAGATATGAGGCTGCAAAGTTGGCACTTAATGCTCACCTGACAGCAACATCGAGTCCTGCCCTTTGAGAAAGTGTTGCCAAAATACCATTTTTTCTCATTTTTATATTTTATATAATTTTTATGTTCTGATAATTGCAATTTATTGTATTTCTTGGCATTTCATAAGCAATCTTTGTTCTGACACTAATATTAGGCATTGAAATTGTACTCAAATTGTCACAAACACATTGACAGGTGGACATTTAAACCTGCCTTGGTCATTTACTATTGTCTAGGAATATATACAAAGCATTTATAGGTCCCAGCAATGTTTTGGATACATGGGAGTATAGAAGAAGAAGAAGAAGAAGAAGGAAGAACAAGGAGGAGGAAGGAAGAAGGAAGAAGCTCCCTTGAAGCAATGTGACAAGCATCCGAGAGGGCAGTGATGAGGTATGGGATGACATTTGATGGGTGGGCACCAGCGAGGGTGCAGAGATAAGATGAGATAGTGCAGAGATAAGGGATGACATTTGATGAGCTGGTATCTCTGTCTCTTTGTCTTGTCTCTCTGTCTGCTTGTCTCTCCATCTCTCTGCTTGTCTCTCTCTCTGTCTCAGAGAGAGCCACTGTGAACCAACGGGTATTCACATGCATTATATCTACAAGTACAGTAGAGCACTTTGGATTTTTTTAGGTTATCCTAGGTAATATACACTATGTATAATTGCATTTGAGTGTACCTGTGAGACAGATAAAAAGAGATAGAGAGACAGATAGACAGAGACAGATAGATATAGACAGACAGAGATAAATAGAAAGAGACAGAGATAGACAGACCCTAAACTTGGGGTTAACATCACTTTCCTCTTAAAAGGGGAGTGTTAATATGACATTACATCAGTGAATCCTTGGTGTATGCCACAGTTTGCTCTAGCTGGCACTCAATTTAACTGGCGCTCCCACAAGGTACTAAGTGGTCCCAGATTTTTTAATATGGTGGTGCACACCGAGTGTTAAGACCCATTCTATGCTGACCAGGCATCTCAGGCCAATTGTGCCAAATTTGGAGGTAGGAAAATTAAAATGTATATATACGTTTGGGGCGCTACGCGTAAGAGCGTATATATACGTTTGGACCGTTTAGGGGTTAAATATCCAACTTAATATATTGATAAACAGTTCCCCTGTTACAAGACACACTGAGGGGAAATTTCTAGGTCTTCTTTTTGATTGTAATCTTAAATTTCATTCCCACATCCAGCATATCTCCAAGAAAATTTCCAAATCAGTAGGCATCCTTTCCAAGATACAATACTATGTACCCCAAATGACACTGCTTACCCTATACCACTCTAATATATCCCTATCTCACCTATGGTATTTGTGCCTGGGGATCAGCCACAACCAACCACCTTAAACCTTTAATAACCCAGCAAAAAGCTGCTGTGTGGGTGATTACCAGCTCCTGTGCTAGACAGCACACCCCACCACTTTTCAAAAACCTGAACTTATTAAATATACAAGACATACTACATATACTCATATTATTATGCCTACTACATCTATAACATCTTGTAGGAGTGAGGAAGAGCCAGTTGTGAGTGTGGGGGAAGTTCGTGAGGCAGTAGGTAAAATGAAAGGGGGTAAGGCAGCCGGGATTCATGGGATAAAGATAGAAATGTTAAAAGCAGGTGGGGATATAGTTTTGGAGTGGTTGGTGCAATTATTTAATAAATGTATGGAAGAGGGTAAGGTACCTAGGGATTGGCAGAGAGCATGCATAGTTCCTTTGTATAAAGGCAAAGGGGACAAAAGAGAGTGCAAAAATTATAGGGGGATAAGTCTGTTGAGTATACCTGGTAAAGTGTATGGTAGAGTTATTATTGAAAGAATTAAGAGTAAGACAGAGAATAGGATAGCAGATGAACAAGGAGGCTTTAGGAAAGGTATGGGGTGTGTGGACCAGGTGTTTACAGTGAAACATATAAGTGAACAGTATTTAGATAAGGCTAAAGAGGTCTTTGTGGCATTTATGGATTTGGAAAAGGCATATGACAGGGTGGATAGGGGGGCAATGTGGCAGATGTTGCAGGTGTATGGTGTAGGAGGTAGGTTACTGAAAGCAGTGAAGAGTTTTTACGAGGATAGTGAGGCTCAAGTTAGAGTATGTAGGAAAGAGGGAAACTTTTTCCCAGTAAAAGTAGGCCTTAGACAAGGATGTGTGATGTCACCGTGGTTGTTTAATATATTTATAGATGGGGTTGTAAGAGAAGTAAATGCGAGGGTTTTGGCAAAAGGCATGGAGTTAAAAGATAAAGAATCACACATAAAGTGGGAGTTGTCACAGTTGCTCTTTGCTGATGACACTGTGCTCTTGGGAGATTCTGAAGAGAAGTTGCAGAGATTGGTGGATGAATTTGGTAGGGTGTGCAAAAGAAGAAAATTAAAAGTGAATACAGGAAAGAGTAAGGTTATGAGGATAACAAAAAGATTAGGTGATGAAAGATTGGATATCAGATTGGAGGGAGAGAGTATGGAGGAGGTGAATGTATTCAGATATTTGGGAGTGGACGTGTCAGCGGATGGGTCTATGAAAGATGAGGTGAATCATAGAATTGATGAGGGGAAAAGGATGAGCGGTGCACTTAGGAGTCTGTGGAGACAAAGAACTTTTTCCTTGGAGGCAAAGAGGGGAATGTATGAGAGTATAGTTTTACCAATGCTCTTATATGGGTGTGAAGCATGGGTGATGAATGTTGCAGCGAGGAGAAGGCTGGAGGCAGTGGAGATGTCATGTCTGAGGGCAATGTGTGGTGTGAATATAATGCAGAGAATTCGTAGTTTGGAAGTTAGGAGGAGGTGCGGGATTACCAAAACTGTTGTCCAGAGGGCTGAGGAAGGGTTGTTGAGGTGGTTCGGACATGTAGAGAGAATGGAGCGAAACAGAGTGACTTCAAGAGTGTATCAGTCTGTAGTGGAAGGAAGGTGGGGTAGGGGTCGGCCTAGGAAAGGTTGGAGGGAGGGGGTAAAGGAGGTTTTGTGTGCGAGGGGCTTGGACTTCCAGCAGGCATGCGTGAGCGTGTTTGATAGGAGTGAATGGAGACAAATGGTTTTTAATACTTGACGTGCTGTTGGAGTGTGAGCAAAGTAACATTTATGAAGGGGTTCAGGGAAACCGGCAGGCCGGACTTGAGTCCTGGAGATGGGAAGTACAGTGCCTGCACTCTGAAGGAGGGGTGTTAATGTTGCAGTTTAAAAACTGTAGTGTAAAGCACCCTTCTGGCAAGACAGTGATGGAGTGAATGATGGTGAAAGTTTTTCTTTTTCGGGGCACCCTGCCTTGGTGGGAATCGGCCAGTGTGATAATAATAAAAAAAAAAAAATACTACATTGTGAAAATGCAATGCACATAAAGGACCCGAAGATCTGGAATTCACTACCTGAATTGGTAAAGGATCCCCTGACTGTATTTATAAATTAGGGCCTTGCTTAACCCTTTGAGGGTTTTCGTCGTACTAGTACGTCTTACGCGTAGGGGTTTTTGACGTACTAGTACTCATAAATTCTAGCGTCCTCAAATCTAGTGGGAGAAAGCTGGTAGGCCTTCATATGAAAGAATGGGTCTATGTGGTCAGTGTGCACAGTCTAAAAAAAATCCTGCAGCACACAGTGCAAAATGAGAAAAAAAAAACTTTGACCATTTTTTTTTAATAAATCAGCGACTTTGCAGTGTATTTTCGTATGGTATTTATTGTTGTATTCTAGTTTTCTTGGTCTCATTTTATGAATGGAAGACATATTACTGAAATTGAGATGATTTTGACTGGTTTTACATGAAAGGTGCCTTGAAATTGAGCTCAAAGTAGCAGAAATGTTCGATTTTTACCAAACTTCAAAAGTAAACAAATCGTGCCAAGTGTGAAATACACGTCAACTGGTGAGTCTAATATTCTTTCACAAGTGCACCAATAATATTTATACCATTTTTTACACTAATGCAATAGTCTGCATAACAGTAAATCTTATATTTTTTGTGAGAATAAAAATTCAAAGTGGAAAGCAAAAGAATATATGAGGGGCCTTGAGACGTGACTAATCACTAGAGGAAATGTCATTTTAGTGCCAGGAATGTCTTTCTTGTTTATTCTGGACCCTATTCGGAAATTGGCATCTTTTGAAATTTGTGTGAAATTGGCAAAATTGCTAAATTCTGACCACTGTACTGGATAGGTGAATTTATAAATGGGTGGTTTCTTGCACCCATTCGATAGAAAAAATGGAGTTCTAGCGAAATATTCATGTTTTTTGTCGACTAGTACAGTGAAATTGGCCGAAAATGGGGCTCAAAGTGGGCAAAATCGCCGATGCGTAAACATCGCCGAGACCGCTAACTTTGCGACAGCATAATTCCGTAAGTTTTCTATCAAATTTCAAACTTTTGGTGTCATTATGATCGGGAAAAGATTCTCTATCTTTTCATAAGAGAAAATAATTTTTTTTTTTTTTAAATTTGGCCGACCCTGAGAACGAGTTTCGGAGAGGGCCTGTCGACCCTCAAAGGGTTAAAAATCATCTCATCTTTCAGTACCAGCCAAACCAACCGAAACAACTTCTAATCAGTTTGAATCAACTCTCCCAAATATTATACTATATGATCTCTAGTCTATTAAACATCTGCCAATCCATGAAATATTACTGTGTGAACCATTATTTGTAATACTATTGTTTTTATTTTGTGCAACTTCAAGATTATTATTCTTATAAACCTCCACCTTGACTACCTTGCATTAGTATTAAGATTAAATAAAGATTTTAATACAAGTTAACCACTCTTATGTTGTCTAGATTTAAGTAGTTATTATGTACTAGGATTAGTCTGCCCTAAATGCCCTGGCATGATAAAGGCTTTCTTTGTACTTAGCACATTGTAACCTTTACCACTACTCCCTTCTTATTATAACCTTTGCCGCTTCTGCCACCACCACCACCACCATTGCCACCATCATCTTCAGGAGCTAACTCAATTGCTACCTTGCATAAGTGCTTGATAAACCAGGCTGTGATTGATAGGTGAGACAGTTGGCTACCAGTGACAACAGCCTGGTTGACCAGGCAAGCACCAGAAAAGCTTAACCCCTAGGCCAGATTGTAGGAATAGGAACTCAAAACTGGTCATGGGTATACATAAGGACTAGTGAGTATGTGTGAGGGTAGGGGAGAAAAATTTGTACAAATGAGTAGGACACTTGTTAAATTATAGTACTGACAGAATGTATTGCTGCAGCCCACTATGCCAGCTATGACATACCAGAGCCCTGGGTTCAGTGGACCAGCACCAGCACAGTGGGCCTCAGGATTTGGGCAGCAACAGCCACCTCAGCAGCAGCAGCCATTCTACACTCAGCAGCCTTTACCACCAGGTGGGTCTACGCCTTGATGAAACAGAATATACACATTATATCCATTGAGTGTCTGCCTGTGGTAAAAAGTATTTTCAGGTATTTTGACTGCATTGCAAGTACTGTAATAGGTAAGTACTGCATTCAGAATATTTAGAACTCAAAATTAATTTTCCATAATTTTTAATGTTAGATAAGGCGATTTAGTGGCCATGGAACAAAACTTTCCCTAAATTAACTAACATGCATGTTAGGTGGATGCTCTACTTTTTCGAGTAGAGTGTAAAGGTGAAAATATAAGTGCTTGGCACTGTATAACAGTGAACAAATGTTAACCTCTTGCATGATATATACCTTAGTAAGCAGTTGGTGATGAACAAAAATCTTGGCTCAAGCTGATCATAGGTCCTTATGTGGCACAATTAAGAGTGGGTGAGATGTTATCAACAAATTTTGTTGAAAATAAGAAAAAGTTTTGGAGTGAGATTAACAAGTTAAGAAAGCCTAGAGAACAAATGGATTTGTCAGTTAAAAATAGGAGAGGAGAGTTATTAAATGGAGAGTTAGAGGTATTGGGAAGATGGAAGGAATATTTTGAGGAATTGTTAAATGTTGATGAAGATAGGGAAGCTGTGATTTCGTGTATAGGGCAAGGAGGAATAACATCTTGTAGGAGTGAGGAAGAGCCAGTTGTGAGTGTGGGGGAAGTTCGTGAGGCAGTAGGTAAAATGAAAGGGGGTAAGGCAGCGGGATTGATGGGATAAAGATAGAAATGTTAAAAGCAGGTGGGGATATAGTTTTGGAGTGGTTGGTGCAATTATTTAATAAATGTATGGAAGAAGGTAAGGTACCTAGGGATTGGCAGAGAGCATGCATAGTTCCTTTGTATAAAGGCAAAGGGGGATAAAAGAGAGTGCAAAAATTATAGGGGATAAGTCTGTTGAGTGTACCTGGTAAAGTGTATGGTAGAGTTATAATTGAAAGAATTAAGAGTAAGACGGAGAATAGGATAGCAGATGAACAAGGAGGCTTTAGGAAAGGTAGGGGGTGTGTGGACCAGGTGTTTACAGTGAAACATATAAGTGAACAGTATTTAGATAAGGCTAAAGAGGTCTTTGTGGCATTTATGGATTTGGAAAAGGCGTATGACAGGGTGGATAGGGGGGCAATGTGGCAGATGTTGCAAGTGTATGGTGTAGGAGGTAGGTTACTGAAAGCAGTGAAGAGTTTTTACGAGGATAGTGAGGCTCAAGTTAGAGTATGTAGGAAAGAGGGAAATTTTTTCCCAGTAAAAGTAGGCCTTAGACAAGGATGTGTGATGTCACCGTGGTTGTTTAATATATTTATAGATGGGGTTGTAAGAGAAGTAAATGCGAGGGTCTTGGCAAGAGGCGTGGAGTTAAAAGATAAAGAATCACACACAAAGTGGGAGTTGTCACAGCTGCTCTTTGCTGATGACACTGTGCTCTTGGGAGATTCTGAAGAGAAGTTGCAGAGATTGGTGGATGAATTTGGTAGGGTGTGCAAAAGAAGAAAATTAAAGGTGAATACAGGAAAGAGTAAGGTTATGAGGATAACAAAAAGATTAGGTGATGAAAGATTGAATATCAGATTGGAGGGAGAGAGTATGGAGGAGGTGAACGTATTCAGATATTTGGGAGTGGACGTGTCAGCAGATGGGTCTATGAAAGATGAGGTGAATCATAGAATTGATGAGGGAAAAAGAGTGAGTGGTGCACTTAGGAGTCTGTGGAGACAAAGAACTTTGTCCTTGGAGGCAAAGAGGGGAATGTATGAGAGTATAGTTTTACCAACGCTCTTATATGGGTGTGAAGCGTGGGTGATGAATGTTGCAGCGAGGAGAAGGCTGGAGGCAGTGGAGATGTCATGTCTGAGGGCAATGTGTGGTGTGAATATAATGCAGAGAATTCGTAGTTTGGAAGTTAGGAGGAGGTGCGGGATTACCAAAACTGTTGTCCAGAGGGCTGAGGAAGGGTTGTTGAGGTGGTTCGGACATGTAGAGAGAATGGAGCGAAACAGAATGACTTCAAGAGTGTATCAGTTTTGTAGTGGAAGGAAGGCGGGGTAGGGGTCGGCCTAGGAAGGGTTGGAGGGAGGGGGTAAAGGAGGTTTTGTGTGCGAGGGGCTTGGGCTTCCCAGCAGGCATGCGTGAGCGTGTTTGATAGGAGTGAATGGAGACAAATGGTTTTTTTAATACTTGACGTGCTTTTGGGAGTGTGAGCAAAGTAACATTTATGAAGGGATTCAGGGAAACCGGCAGGCCGGACTTGAGTCCTGGAGATGGGAAGTACAGTGCCTGCACTCTGAAGGAGGGGTGTTAATGTTGCAGTTTAAAAACTGTAGTGTAAAGCACCCTTCTGGCAAGACAGTGATGGAGTGAATGATGGTGAAAGTTTTTCTTTTTCGGGCCACCCTGCCTTGGTGGGAATCGGCCGGTGTGATAATAAAAAAAAAAAAAAAAAAAAAAAAAAAAAAAATTTTATATGATAAACTTTAGCTTACTACCGTTAAGAATTAGTCAGCTCCTTGGTTGGAACAATTAACAACTAAGCCACAAATTGGAAATAAGAACAGGTTAACATTTTAGTCTGTCATGGACTGTTATCGAGTTGCGAATAACAAATAAAGAGGAAGACAATGAAAAATAAAGTGAGGCTATTGGGAAATAATTGGAGGTTAATGTCCAGTAGGCCTGCAGCAATGCTCCTTCCTTCTTAATTAAGTGGGTGTGACTGATGTATCTGTGGCCCCTCTATAAACATGTACATCCTGAAGTCTACTCAACAGTCTTTTATCTACCAATACATAGTCCAACAAACTACTGTCATTATGCCCTACATCATATCTTGTATACTTATTTATCCTCTTTTTCTTAAAATATGTGTTACCTATAACTAAACCCCTTTCTGTACAAAATTCAGCCAAAGGGCTCCCATTATCATTTACACCTGGCACCCCAAACTTACCTACCACACCCTCTCTAAATGTTTCTCCTACTTTAGGGCCCCCTTCCACAATTATTCTCTCAGGTGATTCAAAGGTTCCTATACATTCACTTAACATCTCTCAAAATTTCTCTCGCTCTTCTACACTCCTCTCTTCTCCAGGTGCATACATGCTTATTATGACCCACTTTTCTCATCCAACCCTTATTTTAATCCACATAATCCTTGAATTTACACATTTATATTCCCTCTTCTCCTTCCATAACTGATCCTTCAACATTATTGCTACCCCTTCCTTAGCTCTAACTCTCTCAGATACTCCTGACTTAATCCCATTTATTTCTCCCCACCGAAACTCCCCTACCCCTTTCAGCTTTGTTTCGCTTAGGGCCAGGACATCCAACTTCTTTTCATTCATAACATCAGCAATCATCTCTTTCTTGTCATCCGCACTACATCCACGCACATTCAAGCATCCCAGTTTTATAAAGTTTTTCTTTTCTTTTTAAGTAAATGTTTACAGGAGAAGGGGTTACTAGCCTATTGCTCCCGGCATTTTAGTCGCCTCATACGACACGCATGGTTTACGGAGGAAAGATTCTTTTCCACTTCCCCATGGACAATAGAGGAAATAAAGAAGAACAAGAGTTATTTAGAAAAAAAGAAGGAAAACCTAGTTGTGTGTATGTATATATATGCATGTGCTTGCCTGTGTAGTGTGACCTAAGTGTAAGTAGAAGTAGCAAGATACACCTGTTATCTAGCATGTTTATGAGACAGAAAAAGACTCCATTAATCTTACCATCTTGTAAAACAGTTACAGGTTTCTGTTTCACAGTCATCTGGCAGGATGGTAGTACTTTCCTGGGGGGTTGCTGTCTACCAACCTTAGTTAAAATGTATTTTTAACCCGTAAATGGTCCAAACGTATATATATGTTCTCTCCCGTAGTGCCCCAACTTTTTTGAGAAAAAAAAAGTTTTTTTTTTTTTAATAGGAAAAAAGAGCATATGGTACCCAGGGATCCCCAATTATTTTAATATGGTGCACAGTGAGTGCGCACACCCATTCTCTCATGTCTAGGAGACTCAGGCTTATCGTGGCAATGTTGAATGTATGGCAAATAAAACGTATACAGTGGACCCCCGGTTAACGATATTTTTTCACTCCATAAGTATGTTCAGGTGCCAGTACTGACTGAATTTATTCCCATAAGGAATATTGTGAAGTAGATTAGTCCATTTCAGACCCCCAAACATACACGTACAAACGCACTTACATAAATACACTTACATAATTGGTCGCATTCGGAGGTAATCGTTATGCGGGGGTCCACTGTATATATGTTTGGGGCACTAGCGGTAAAAACGTATAAATACGTTTGGACCGTTTACGGGTTAACAGCGCATTAATTTGCTATTTACAGTTAAAAAGGCACATTTACCTAAACCTAATTATTGGGTTTGTATGTTTTTCTCGAATAGTGTGGAATCTACTTCTCCATTACATTTTGCATTTTTATAAGAAAATAAATTCTGAGTACAGCACACTTAAGAGTTACAAATAATTTTCAGGAACTCAACTTGTTCGGTTAATTGGAGGGCCTTTGATTTTTTTTCTAGTGTGATGCCTATGTTCTTTGTTACTTTTCTCTTAGATCTAGGCCAGATCTGCAGTTCAAGGGCCTGAAAATATACCAAACTGTTTGATGTGTCTATTGTACTTGTGGTATAAAGTAGATTTAGAGCTATGAATAAAAGGATATTGTGTGTTGTCTAATGCTTGAGTTTGTTATGGTCCTAATGGGTGCTTTCTATTGTGTGATGATTGATCATAGGTAATTTGCTGCTGTTGATCTTTCGCAAATCCATACAAGTGATATGAATAGAACAGTATGAAGTACAACATTTTGCAAGCAGTATAACATGGAGAATGTAGCAAATTTTGGAGAAATACCTTCTGATATTTAAAATTTCTTTGATATGCCCTTGAGTGTTAAATTTGAATTTGTCTAGGAATTTATCTTTTACCTTTTTTGTTCTTTAGTATTTGGTACTTTTTAATAAGATTTACTTGGTTGTTTGGTTTATTTCCAAATGCAATGTACAAAATGTAACTTTGTCAGTTGTCATCCAAATGTAGGCATTTTTTGATCATTAACTATGTCATCTAAAGCATTTTGATTTGTATTTCATAAGATAAAAGTGGTGTGATCAGCAAAGAGTATTGACTTACAATGTGTGGCATTCAGCAGTTCATTGTTATAAAGGAGTAGAAAAGGGCCTAGTATGCCACCTTGGTGGTCACCAATATGTATTGGTAGAGTAGATGATGGTATGTTCTTTATGGTTATGTTGCATAGTAATCTGTGTGTGTCCTTACTGCAGTTCTTCAGTTTGAAGACAAGTGTTAAAAACCTTTTGCAGATCAATAAATAGCCAAGAGAACATCCATTCCTGTTAAGTAGTTTGTATTTCATATTATTTATTTTTTTATTATTATTAACACATTAGCCATCTCCCACCAAGGTAGGGTTGGCCTGAAAAAGAAAAACTTTCATCATTCACTCCATCACTGTCTTGCCAGAGGCATGCTTATACTACTACAGTTATAAAACTGCAACATTAACACCCTTCTTTCAGAGAGTTTTTTTTTTTTTGGGGGGGGGGGGGGTGTCTAGAGTGACATGATAGATTAATCACTGAAGGTGGGATAGCATGAGCATAGCTCTGTTTCTGTAGCTAGAAGAGGGCGTTGTACTGTAATAACAAATAGATAATCTGCATCAGCTAACAAGAACCATTTACACCTTGTTTTAAGGTAGCTAAAAATCTTTTAAATTCTCTTCTTTTCTGCAGTGCATCAGGAGATTTTAAGTGAAAACCAGTGCTGATTTGCTGCTTACAGAATCCTGAATTGGCAGGAGGGAATATGGAGGAAGTGAATATATTCATAGATGTAGGTGGTGTGTCGAGGAAGTTAATGGTATCTGTGAAGGCAAAAAAAAAAAAAAAGAATGGGAATATACCATATTACAGTATATTGATAACAACACAGAGTAGGAGGTTGGAGACATTGACAGTGTCATGTTTGAGAGCAATGTGTAGTGTGAATATTTTGCAGAGGATTCAGAGTGTTGAAATCGAAGAAGAGTGTGAGGGTTACCATTGGTAAGATTCAGAGGAATGAGGAGGGGTTGAAAAGGTGTTTTCTACATTTACAGAGAATGGAGCAAAATAGGATAATCAAGTGGTATATAAATCTGGCATGAAAAGAAGAAGGGGTAGGGATCATCCCAGGAAGGATAAAGGAGAGTGTGAGTGCTAGGGGGCTTGAGTATCCAGCAGCTTATGTGGGCATGTTAAATTGGAGCAAGTGGAGACAATTGTTTTTTTTATGGCCCGATGTGCTGTTGGAGTGTAATCAAGGCAACATTTATGAATTATTCAGAGGACTTGAGCCCTGTTGGTAGGAAATCAAGTGCCTTCACTCTGGAGGTATGGGAATGTTGTATTTTAAAGGGTCATTTGAATTGTGATGCCTGTGCATTTCTAGGTCACCCCTACCTTGGTGGAACATAGCCAGAGTGTTTAAAGAAAAAATAAGTGCCCTGAGAGGTGATTAAAACTTCTTTACCCATTGTTTGGTTGTCTTAACAAGAGGTCATACATAATATCATCCCTGTTTGCAGAATCATAAGGAAAATGTACAAGTTTTTATTTTTACTACTCCCACATGGCCTCTTTAATATCTTTAGTTGATCAGAAACTTATAAGGAATCTCAGATACACCTATGTAGGTAGAATCATGAAAAAAGCTTATAAGCATGATGAATGAAAATTCAAATCTTCTGGCATAGGTTCACCATTGTAAATACACTTACGCACATCAAGATAGTCATGGATTGAAGTGACACAATCAGTTCAGATTGCTGGGTAGTAACAATTACTGGTAGAGCCGCCTCTGCTTCCTGATTTTCGAGGTATTTCCTTGAAATTAATGAGGTGAAGAAGCTTATGTACCTGGCAAGAACTTTGAGAGGTAAGGGTTTCAAGAATATAAAGCAAGTGGATATGTTGGAAGAAGGCAACATTAAACCTTCTGGAAAAGGATTGCTGGGGATGATCACTTCCCAGGAAAAAGAGAAACAGCATGAGGATAAGGGAAAGAAGAAAATGCTAAAATTACAACCAATATGTGAGAATCTGCTTGCACATAATGAAGTTACAAAAGTGTTCTTTGATACTGATCCTAATATGGAAAAAAAGTCTTCGTCTGAAATAAGGATTTTGGAGCAGTTGAAACTGTTTTTATCATCAGGTCTATACTACTGTAATACAAGGAACACAGACTGGAGGTATAATAGGATGCAGTACTTTGCCACTCCAAAACTGCCATTAACTACTGACAGTTCTCTTTCAAAATCTACTCTTGGGCCCAGTAGACTGAGATCAATACACCTCATTCTCCAAGATGTTCAACTGCTACATGTAAGGGCAGTATAAATGTGGGGTAAGTTAACTTTGAGATTTGTGAGACCTACAGGTAGCCTCGTGTTTTGCTCATGTTATTCGTTTCATTTAGCACAAATTTAGGGTGCATGCACATTTGCAGAAATGTAATTGCCTTGTTAAATAAGTATTTATTGGATTTCATGAGTAACATGAAAGATATCAGTGACTTTTTTATTGGAAACGAAAACACTAAATGTAAAGTTTTAAAAATTGAGTTGAGCAAGAGCAGACATGATAAACCCAATAATAGACAACAAGAGAAGTCGAGACAAAATGGATGTAAGGTACAGGAACACAACTTAAGGCAATGTGTATGTCACATATTACTGTGGGGGAATAAACAGAATGATGTGTTATGAAAAGATTGCTTAGTGTTGTAATAGAACATAGTTTGCCATGTACAGCATCCCAGTGGTAGAATTATAGCAAGGTGTTGACTGTTTCATCTCAATACACCATTGTACTGAAAGCAGTTTGTTACTCATATAATTAAAAATTTGAAACTTTGGAAAAAAAGTTTCTCTGGGTATTTAATTTTATTATACTTTAAACCCTTGCTTTTTAACCACTTAATAAAATATGCTGTAGTATTGAGCACAGCTCTAGTGATTGTAGAATGGTCATCAGTTTGTAGATTGCAAGCATGGCATAACAAAACATTTTGTTGTGATGGGTAAAAGGGTTACTTTAGAAAGTGATGTAAATATTATAGGATTCAGCTTAATACAGATGGACTCATTTTTATGTACATACTGTACTTAGTAAACATTCTAGAACAACGTTACTGTAAAGGTTGGCTAATTCTTTGACTCTTGGCTTGTTTTTCTTTCTTATTTTCATAAATTATTCTTTCTTTTTATTTCCACAGAACCTTGGCCACTTACAACAAGGTTTAAAAAAAATCCTAGTAATGCATACACGAAAAAGAGTGATGACCAATCTCCACTGAAGACAGGAACAGAGTTTAATATAAGGGATATTAAAACCAGTAGCCTTGAGACTGCTGAAGGTATTATACTCACAGTAATTGCATATTTGCCCCAAAACATGGCTTACAAAACTGCTTATTTGCTGCTTTTTTTTGCTGCACTGAGATGGGTGGGTGCTGAAGTAAACAGGTGTTAAGCATGTGTGTGTGAACCCCTTGACTCACATTAGTCAAATTAAAATGGTGTTACTCTGCTTAAACTGCTTACATCCAGTTTAGATCAGCTATTATAAATGAGAAAATTCTGTTTCACTCAGGAGAGATGTTTAAAAACCTCAAAAAAAAAAATTTTAATTATGCTAATTTCTGCCAATTTGAAAATGTTAGTAGTCAGTGCCCAAAGTGGCAGTTGGCACTTGTATAAGATGTGTTTGTGCATAGGTAAATCTCATCAGTCTTTACACAGCAATTATCCACAAAATCATTCGAGCCAAAGTTTGATTCAGAGATGTAATTTAAAGAAAAGACTGAGTAATTGCTAGAGAACTTGTCATTACTGAGAAAAGATCATAATTCTCTCTCCCAGTTACTGCATATACTCTATACGGAATTCACATTTTCTCGCCCCATTAAGTAGGGTTACAACTCTTGTCTCTTTTTTTTATTATAAGACACTAGTTGTCTCCTACCTTGGTAGGAGACAGACGGTGTTTTAAAAAATAATACTTGTATCAAATGGACTATTATAGCATAGTTTTTGTAAAAAACAAAAAAAAATAAGGAAAAACATTCATTATTCAATATCCTTGTAAGCTATTAGAATTATTATTATCCTTATAATGTGACTATGCATACAAAGGTATTTAAGATAAATAATGCCTTGAATTTGGGTTTTTCTCTTGGTCCATGCAATGTGTATTCATATATATCACTGAGATTTTATTACTTGTGATCTGTTTGTAGTATTAACTAAAATATACGTAGATATTCAGAACATTATATAGTATAATTGAATGTTCTTGCAAATGTGAGTTTAAAGAAAGTATTACTTTGATACTGTATATGCACACTAATGCAGTGCAGCTGTGATTTTTCTCTGATTTTTGTGTAGTGAAGATTAATGTTCTGCTAAAGACAGTTGTATAGGAATTGTTACTAATAAAATTAAAAAATAAGATTGTCTATATAAAGTGCATACTTAATTTGTGTTTTTTTTTTTTAAATACTTGGTCTCCCATTAAGGTAGGGTGACCCAAAAATGGAAACACATTCACCATCATTCATTCAGTAGCTGTCTTGCCAGAAGTGTGCAAACATGACAAATCAAATGCATACTTAATATTTTCCTGATAAGAAATATGAAGCTTTTGTAACTTTCATTTGAGAAGTTTATCAAGTGCTCATTACAAAGTTTTTAACATTACAAACCTGAATTTCTTGTTTTTCCAGCTGGTGGTGTTAGGTTCCAGGCCTCTATTTCACATAGTCGAGTAGCAATTCGACAAATGCTCTGTCAGCGCCAACCAGGACCACCAGGAATCATGACGGGTCAGTCTACCAACCCAGGATTTACAAACATGGCTACTGGACCCATGGCTACTATGAGTCGTCAGGGGCCTATGATAAGGTAGTACCCCCATCTGTTGTTATAATTATTGCTTCCTTGACAATTGTATATAAAATTTACCATCCATTTTGCTTTAATATACTGTGCTTAAATATTTTAATAATACCAATAATAATACAGTATTTGCACAAAATTACAAAGCCAAGAGGTTCAGTCCACAGTGTACAAGCAAAATACACCTCGTACTACAAGAGTACAAGGTATAAAAGACAATGAGTTAGAAAGGAACACTCTTCTTTGGAAAGTAACAGCACTAACCCACTCATCAATTGGTTTATAAGATCAACAAGCAGAGAAGAGACAGAAACAATTTACGAAGATCTCATATTCTACATTTAAGCTTCGTATATCTCTATATATTTATTTATTTATTTTTTTTTTTATTATCACACTGGCCGATTCCCACCAAGGCAGGGTGGCCCGAAAAAGAAAAACTTTCACCATCATTCACTCCATCACTGTCTTGCCAGAAGGGTGCTTTACACTACAGTTTTTAAACTGCAACATTAACACCCCTCCTTCAGAGTGCAGGCACTGTACTTCCCATCTCCAGGACTCAAGTCCGGCCTGCCGGTTTCCCTGAATCCCTTCATAAATGTTCTTTGCTCACACTCCAACAGCACGTCAAAGTATTAAAAACCATTTGTCTCCATTCACTCCTATCAAACACGCTCACGCATGCCTGCTGGAAGTCCAAGCCCCTCGTACACAAAACCTCTTTACCCCCTCCTCCAACCCTTCCTAGGCCGACCCCTACCCCGCCTTCCTTCCACTACAGACTGATACACTCTTGAAGTCATTCTGTTTCGCTCCATTCTCTCTACATGTCCGAACCACCTCAACAACCCCTTTCCCCAGCCCTCTGGACAACAGTTTTGGTAATCCCGCACCTCCTCCTAACTTCCAAACTACGAATTCTCTGCATTATATTCACACCACACATTGCCTCAGACATGACATCTCCACTGCCTCCAGCCTTCTCCTCGCTGCAAAAATTCATCACCCACGCTTCACACCCATATAGAGCGTTGGTAAAACTATACTCTCATACATTCCCCTCTTTGCCTCCAAGGACAAAGTTTCTTTGTCTCCACAGACTCCTAAGTGCACCACTCACTCTTTTTCCCTCATGAATTATATGATTCACCTCATCTTTCATGACCCATCCGCTGACACGTCCACTCCCAAATATCTGAATACATTCACCTCCTCCATACTCTCTCCCTCCAATCTGATATTCAATCTTTCATCACCTAATATTTTTGTTATCCTCATAACCTTACTCTTTCCTGTATTCACCTTTAATTTTCTTCTTTTGCACACCCTACCAAATTCATCCACCAATCTCTGCAGCTTCTCTTCAGAATCTCCCAAGAGCACAGTGTCATCAGCAAAGAGCAGCTGTGACAACTCCCACTTTGTGTGTGATTCTTTATCTTTTAACTCCACGCCTCTTGCCAAGACCCTCGCATTTACTTCTCTTACAACCCCATCTATAAATATATTAAACAACCACGGTGACATCACACATCCTTGTCTAAGGCCTACTTTTACTGGGAAAAAAAATTTCCCTCTTTCCTACATACTCTAACTTGAGCCTCACTATCCTCATAAAAACTCTTCACTGCTTTCAGTAACCTACCTCCTACCCATACACTTGCAACATCTGCCACATTGCCCCCTATCCACCCTGTCATACGCCTTTTCCAAATCCATAAATGCCACAAAGACCTCTTTAGCCTTATCTAAATACTGTTCACTTATATGTTTCACTGTAAACACCTGGTCCACACACCCCCTACCTTTCCTAAAGCCTCCTTGTTCATCTGCTATCCTATTCTCCTTTCTTACTCTTAATTCTTTCAATTATAACTCTACCATACACTTTACCAGGTCACTCAACAGACTTATCCCCCTATAATTTTTGCCTCTCTTTTATCCCCTTTGCCTTTATACAAAGGAACTATGCATGCTCTCTCCCAAATCCTAGGTACCTTACCCTTTCCATACATTTATTAAATAATTGTACCAACCACTCCAAACTATACCCCCACCTGTTTTTAAACATTTCTATCTTTATCCCATCAATCCCGGCTGCCTTACCCCCTTTCATTTTACCTACTGCCTCACGAACTTCCCACACTCACAACTGGCTCTTCCTCACTCCTACAAGATTTTATTCCTCCTTGCCCAAATACACGAAATCACAGTTCCCCTATCTTCATCAACATTTAACAATTCCTCAAAATATTCCCCCCATCTTCCCAATACCTTAACTCCCCATTTAATAACTCTCCTCTCCTATTTTTAACTGACAAATCCATTTGTTCTCTAGGCTTTCTTAACTTGTTAATCTCACTCCAAAATTTTTTTCTTTTTTCAAAAAAATTTTTTGATAACATCAACCACTCTCTCATTTGCTCTCTTTTTACATTGCTTCACCACTCTCTTAACCTCTCTCTTTTTCTCCATATACTCTTCCCTCCTTGCATCACTTTCTACTTTGTAAAACTTTCATATGCTAACTTTTTTCTCCTTACTACTCTCTTTACATCATCATTCCCCCAACGCTCCTCTTCCCTCCTGCACCCACTTTCCTGTGCCCACAAACTTCTGCTGAAACACTCTAACACTACTTTTTTTAAACCAAACCCCATACCTCTTCGCCCCCATTGCCTATGCTCTCATTAGCCCATCTACCCTCCAATAGCTGTTTATATCTTTCCTAACTGCCTCCTCTTTTAGTTTATAAACCTTCACCTCTCTCTTCCCTGTGCTTCTATTCCCCTTGTATCCCATCTACCTTTTACTTCAGGTAGCTACAACTAGAAAGTGATCTGATATATCTGTGGCCCCTCTATAAACATGTACATCCTGAAGTCTACTCAACAGTCTTTTATTTACCAATACATAACCCAACAAACTACTGTCATTTCGCCCTACATCATATCGGTATACTTATTTATCTCTTTTTCTTAAAATATGTATTACCTATAACTAAACCCCTTTCTATACAAGTTCAATCAAAGGGCTCCATTATCATTTTACACAGGGCACCCAAAACTTACCTATCACACCCTCTCTAAAAGTTTCTCCTACTTTAGCTTTCAGGTCCCTACCACAATTACTCTCTCACTTGGGGTTCAAAGGCTCCTATACATTCACTTAACATCTCCCAAAATCTCTCTCTTTTCTCTGCATTCTCTCTTCTCCAGGTGCATACACGCTTATTAAAGACCCACTTCTCGCATCCAACCTTTACTTTAATCCACATAATTCTTGAATTTACACATTCATATTCTCTTTTCTCCTTCCATAACTGATCATTTAACATTACTGCTACCCCTTCCTTTGCTCTAACTCTCTCAGATACTCCAGATTTAATTCCATTTATTTCCCCCCACTGAAACTCTCCTTTCCCCCTTCAGCTTTGTTTCGCTTAGAGCCAGGAATCCAACTTCTTTCCATTCATAACATCAGCAATCATCTGTTTCTTGTCATCCGCACTACATCCACGCACATTTAAGCATCCCAGTTTTATAAAGTTTTTCTTCTTCTTTTTTTAGTAAATGATACAGGAGAAGGGGTTTACTAGCCCATTGCTCCAGCATTTTAGTCGCCTCATACGACACGCATGGCTTACGGAGGAAAGATTCTTTTCCACTTCCCCATGGACAATAGAAGAAATAAAAAAGAACAAGGCTATTTAGAAAAAGGAAAAAAAACCTAGATGTATGTATATATATATATGCATGTGCGTGTCTGTGAAGTGTGACCAAAGTGTAAGTAGGAGTAGCAAGATATCCCTGTTATCTAGCGTGTTTATGAGACAGAAAAAGAAACCAGCAATCCTACCATCATGCAAAACAGTTACAGGTTTTTGTTTCACAGTATCTGGCAGGACGGTAGTACTTCCCTGGGTGGTTGCTGTCTACCAACCTACTACCTAGGTTGGTAGACCAAAATTCTATCTGATACAGATACTGAAATTTTAATCTCATAGGAACTTTGATCATTTTTTTTCTTTTCTTTTTTTAACAAGTCGGCCATCTCCCACCGAGGCAAGTGACCCAAAAAGAAAGGGGGGGAAAACCTCTCAAAAAATCTTTCATCTCATTCAACACTTTCACTCACTCACACATAATCACGGGTTTTTGCAGAGGTGTTCAGAATACAACAGTTTAGAAGGGGCTTATACGTATAAAGGTACACAACTTATCCCCCCTCCAAACTGCCAATATCCCAAACCCCTCTTTTAAAGTGCAGCATTGTACTTCCCATTTCCAGGACTCAAGCCCGGCTATATAAAAAAACCGGTTTCCCTAAAATCCCTTCACTAAAATTTTACCCTGCTCCACTCCAACAGCTCGTCAGGTTGAAATACCATTCCGTCTCCATTTTTCCCTATCTAACAACGCTCAGGCACGGCTTGGTGCAAGTCCAAGCCCTCCCCACAAAAACCCTCCTTTACCCCTCCCTCCAACCTTTTGGAGGCGACCTCTACCCTGCCTTCCTTCCCCTAAGATTTATACACTCCCCATGTCATTCTACTTTTGTTCCATTCTCTCTAAATGACCAAACCACCTCAACAAACCCCTCAATCGCCTCTGACAAATACTTTTATTAACTCCACACCTTCTCCGAATTTTTCGCATAATACAGTGGACCCCCGGTTAACGATCACCTCCAAATGCGACCAATTATGTAAGTGCGTTTGTACGTGTATGTTTGGGGGTCTGAAATGGACAAATTACTTCACTTTTCCCTTTTGGGAAAAAATTTTCGGTCTATGGACCGAACATACTACTGGAATGAAAAAAGTTCGTTAACCGGGGGTCCACTGTATTTGCACCACACATTGCCCTTAGACAGGACATCTCCACTGCCTCAGACCGCCTCCTCGCTGCAGCATTTACAACCCAAGCTTCACACCCATATAAGAGTTGGTACTACTATACTTTCATACATTCCCTTCTTTGCCTCCATAGATAACATTTTTTGTCTCCACATATACCTCAATGCACCACTTGCCTTTTTTCCTTCATCAATTCTATGATTAACCTCATCCTTCATAAATCCATCTGCTGACACGTCAACTCCCAAATATCTGAAAACATTCACTTCTTCCATACTCCTCCTCCCCAATTTGATATCCAATTTTTCTTTATCTAAATCATTTGATACCCTCATCACCTTACTCTTTTCTATGTTCACTTTCAACTTTCTACCCTTACACACTCCCAAATTCATCCACTAACCTTTGCAATTTTTCTTTAAAATCTCCCCTAAGCACAATATCATCAGCAAAAAGTAACTCTGTCACTTCCCATTTTATATTTGATTCCCCATAATATAATCCCACCCCTCTCCCGAACACCCTAGCATTTACTTCTTTTACAACCCCCTCTATAAATATATTGAACAATCATGGTGACATTACACATCCTATCTAAGACCTACTTTTACGGAAGTAGTCTCCCTTCTTCACACACCCTAACCTGAGCCGCTTTTCCATAAAAACTCTTTACAGTATTTAATAAAAATTTCCACCATTCCTGTACTTTAACATTGCCTTGTCCCCTGTACTCTATCATATCCTTTTTAAATCCCTAAATCACAAAAATTCCCCCACTTTACTAAATACGTCCACATATATGCTTCAAAAGTAAAACTTGCTTTCACATCCCCTACCCCTTGAAACCCCCTTGCTTATCCCCAACCCGCATTCTGTCTTACCCCTAATTCTTTTCAATTAAAAACCCTTTCCGTTCACTTTTCCTGGTTTTACTCAGTAAAATTATTCCTCTTTTAATTTTACCCTTTGTCCCCCCTTTCCCTTTATATAAAGGGAAATACATGTCTCCGCCAATCCCCAGGTACTTCCCCCCTTTTTATACATTTATTAAACAAAAATACCAACCACTCCAACACTATATCCCCCCCTGCTTTTAACATTTCTGTCATGATCCCATCAATTCCAGCTGCTTTACCCCCTCTCATTCTACATAATGCCTTCATGCACCTCCCCCACACTGACATCAGGCTCTTCTTCACTCCTAAAAGATGGTATACCTCCTTGGCCAGTGCATGAAATTACCGCCTCCCTTTCTTCGTCGACATTTAAAAGTTCCTCAAAATATTTTTGCCATCTACCCAATACCTCCATCTCCCCATCTACTAACTCCGCTACCCTGTTTTTAACTGACAGATCCATTCGTTCCCTAGGATTTCTTAACTTGTTTAACTCCCTCCAAAATTTTTTATTATTTTCATTAAAATTTCTTGACAGTGCCTCTCCCACTCTATCATCTGCTCTCCTTTTGCATACTTTCACCACTCTCTTCACTTTTCTTTTACTCTCCATATACTCTACTCTTCTTATAACATTTCTGCTTTGTAAAAACCTCTCATAAGCTACCTTTTTCTCTTTTATCACATCCTTTACTTCATCATTCCACCAATCACTCCTCTTTCCTCCTGCACCCACTCTCCTATAACCACAAACTTCTGCCCCACATTCTAATACTGCATTTTTAAAACTATTCCAACCATCTTCAACCCTCCCCCCCCCTACTCATACTTGCACCAGCCCACCTTTCTGCCAATGGTTGCTTATATCTCACCTGAACTTCCTCCTCCCTTTGTTTATACACTTTCACCTCCCTCTTACTTCTTGTTGCCATTTTCCTCTTGTCCCATCTACCTCTTACTTTAACTGTAGCTACAACTAAATAATGATCCGATATATCAGTTGCCCCTCTATAAACGTGTACATCATGGAGCCTACCCATCAACCTTTTATCCACCAATACATAGTCTAACAAACTACTTTCAATAACGTGCTATATCATACTTCTTGTTTCAACAAACCAGCCATATCCCACCAAGGCAGGGTGGGATACAGGAAAAGGGGTTACTAGCCCCTTGCTCCCGGCACTTTAGTCGCCTCTTACAACACGCATGGCGTACGGAGGAAGAATTCTGTTCCACTTCCCCATGGAGATAAGAGGAAATAAACAAGAACAAGAACTAGAAAGAAAATAGCAGAAAACCCAGAGGGGTGTGTGTATATATGCTTTTACATGTATGTGTAGTGTGACCTAAGTGTAAGTAGAAGTAGCAAGACATATCTGAAATCTTGCATGTTTATGAGACAGAAAAAAGGACACCAGCAATCCTACAATCATGTAAAACAATTACAGGCTTTCGTTTTACACTCACTTGGCAGGACGGTAGTACTTCCCTGGGCAGTTGCTGTCTACCAACCTACTACCTAGGGCTATATCATGCCTTGTATATTTATTTATCCTCTTTTTCATAAAATATGTAGTGTTACTTATTACCAAACCTCTACACATAGTTCAATTAAAGGCTCCCCATTTTCATTTACCCCTGGCACCCCAAATGTACCTACTACTCCCTCCACAACATTTTTACCCACTTTAGCATTGAAATCCCCAGCCACAAGTACTCTCACACTTGGTTCGAAACTCTCCACGCATTCACTCAACGTTTCCCAAAATCTCTCTCTCTCCTCTACACTTCTCTCTTTTCCAGGTGCATATACGCTTACTATAACCCACTTTTCACATCCAACCTTTATTTTACTCCACATAATCCTTGAATTAATACATTTATAGTCCCTCTTTCCTTGCCATTGCTTATCCTTCAACATTATTGCTACTCCTTCTTTAGCTCTAACTCTATTTGAAACCCCTGACCTAATCCCATTTATGCCTCTCCACTGAAACTCTCCCACCCCCTTCAGCTTTGTTTCACTTAAAGCCAGGACATCCAGCTTCTTCTCATTCATAACATCCACAATCATCTCTTTCTTATCATTCGCATAACATCCATGCTCATTCAGACATCCCACTTTGACAATTTTCTTATTCTTATTCTTTTTAGTAACTATTACAGGAAAAGGGGTTACTAGCCCATTGTTCATATTTATTTATTTTTTCACAACAGTACCTGTACTCCCTTCATCCCTTCCTCTTCCAGTTTGACCTGTTTCCTGATCATCTCTGCTTTTTCCTCTCAGTTGTGACTTGACTGACAATGGTCCAGGTAAAACCAAAACATTGTCTTAACTTTCTTTTCATAAGTTTGGGGGCCACAGGTATATATTCCAACCACATTATTGTGACTTAATATTTTCTTCAGTTATCTTTATTGTATTTGTATCTCTTATATAGTTACTCACTTTCAGGTACTGTATCTTCTGCTTTATTTTGTTTTATAGCTAGCATGTTGTGTTTTGTTAGTGCTCTGCCTCAGTATTATCTTATTAATTTTTTTAGCTTTCATTTATATTTTCTGTTTTAGGTCTGGGATACGAAGTGGTCTAACAGCTCCTCAGCAAGGACCTATGTATGGTAGTGGTGGAGCCATGCAGGGTGGCCCTATGCCTCAGGGTATGCCTGGCCAGGCAGGTCAGATGTATTCAGCCATGGGTGCTGGTGGACCTGGAGGTCCTCCAGGTGGACCTAATGGACCAGGACAAGGTGGTATGGCCCAGTATGGATCATATCAACAAGGCCCTATGGCAAGTGGGCAGATGATGAGCCAGGGTCCAACAGGGGGTAGTGTCCCTACAGGCCCTGGAGGCCCTGCCAGTAGCATGATGAGCCAGGGTTACCAGCCAGGATACCAGGCTAACCCAGCAATGATGGGACTACGGCAGCAGCAGCCAGGTGCTTATATTGGGCCAGGCATGACTCAGTCACAGATAGTGCAGCGGCCACAGTATATCCAGGTTAGTATTGTTTATTGTATTTGCCCAGTATGCCGCCCTCTATTTACCTTGGTAATCAGTTTGTTGATTGTTTCCTTGTAAAACAATGTGAAAAACAGTAGACATTCATAATTCACATAGGTTATGTTGCTGAACACATCACTACCAATGATTTCTGTTACTTATGGGGTGAAAAACATATGGGAAAAATAGAGTTGTAGTCCTCAGACCTCCAAAAATTACATACAAGTCATTTTTACTTTCATAATTCTTTGAAAAATAATACTTTACATAATTTTTCTTGATGGGGATGCTCTGTGAAATACCTGAACTCTAGCAAGGTTCAGACAGTGAAAAGGATGAGCACGTATAGCTAACAGTGGTTGCATTAATGCTCTACAGTATTTGTAGTTTACCATCAAGTCGAGTTGGTGATGCTTAACATCCTGAAGTGAATGTAGAGGTTGGCTGTGATCTTATTGGACCCACATTGATGGTTGGGGTGGGTGATGTGATGTTGAAGGTTGGGGATCTTGGGATGTTGATGCAGCTTTATTAGTACATAGATTGTTATGGTGAAGTGCTCAGGTATTCTGTCATATGGTACTGGTTCGTTTTATCTGCAGTTCTTTATACGGCCCACTGCATATTCTAAACTAGTTAAACCATCCTGAACTAAATGTGCACTCATTTTCATGCTGTCCTTCATCCTCACACACTGTTTTGATAAAACTTTTTCCTAATAATAAGGCCTTCAAGTGGAACACCTGTCTTTGTTTTTCAGCCCACACATTCAGTAAACCTTGTTTTATTTAATTGTAGTTATCTATTCCTCATTCTTTTCACTGTGTCACATTGAGGCTTAAACATTGCATAAGCCTTTATCTTCATTTCATTGTCTTAAATTTAATGAGTCATTGATTCTCTTAATGCCAAGCACTTGTGCTTTCTCCATGACATGTACACCACCCTGCAGCATCTCTGTTACCTGTGTTTTTTTTTTTTTTTTTTTAAGAAGGCATGATTTCACAATTAATATTCTTGCTTCATCAGTATCACCTGCACTTTCTTTGGATGCCATGATAAATATCCAAAGATGAGATGGGGTGATGAAAACAAAAAAACTGAGTGATGAGTACCGAGTAAAAAAAGTCATACAGTACATATATGTCCAGATACACTGATCTGCATAGGAAGCTATTTACATCCATACTTCCTCCTACACACCCTTCCCTGCACTGCTAAAACAATGGAGTTTCTTAGTGTGCTGTGATGGGTTGCCTGCTGGCTGTGGTGCTACTTGACAGAAATGCATGCCATCAAAGGGAAATTAATTCTGCTGTGGCGTACCTTAATGGAAACGGTATGCTTCCTTTGGAAAGGAAAGCCTAAATTTAAATTGCATAATATTGAAAACATGAGAAAGGATCATGCTACTTAGTTGTCTACTAAATATGATAACAATGTGATTTTTAATAATTTTGTTTTAAATTTTCTGGTCTTAAAATTTTTCTTTTGTACAACAGTGTAATTAATCTTCAATTTCTCAATTTTTGTGACTTTTTTAATAATAATAATAATACCAAAGAGGCAAAGAAGGGAATGTATGAAAGTATAGTAGTACCAACACTCTTATATGGGTGTGAAGCTTGGGTGGTAAATGCAGCAGCGAGGAGACGGTTGGAGGCAGTGGAGATGTCCTGTTTAAGGGCAATGTGTGGTGTAAATATTATGCAGAAAATTCGGAGTGTGGAAATTAGGAGAAGGTGTGGAGTTAATAAAAGTATTAGTCAGAGGGCAGAAGAGGGGTTGTTGAGGTGGTTTGGTCATTTAGAGAGAATGGATCAAAGTAGAATGACATGGAAAGCATATAAATCTATAGGGGAAGGAAGGCGGGGTAGGGGTCGTCCTCGAAAGGGTTGGAGAGAGGGGGTAAAGGAGGTTTTGTGGGTAAGGGGCTTGGACTTCCAGCAAGCGTGCGTGAGCGTGTTAGATAGGAGTGAATGGAGACGAATGGTACTTGAGACCTGACGATCTGTTGGAGTGTGAGCAGGGTAATATTTAGTGAAGGGATTCAGGGAAACTGGTTATTTTCATATAGTCGGACTTGAGTCCTGGAAATGGGAAGTACAATGCCTGCACTTTAAAGGAGGGGTTTGGGATATTGGCAGTTTGGAGGGATATGTTGTGTATCTTTATGTGTGTATGCTTCTAGACTGTTGTATTCTGAGCACCTCTGCAAAAACAGTGATAATGTGCGAGTGTGGTGAAAGTGTTGAATGATGATGAAAGTATTTTCTTTTTGGGGATTTTCTTTCTTTTTTTTGGGTCACCCTGCCTCGGTGGGAGACGGCCGACTTGTTGAAAAAAAAAAAAAAAAAAAAAATAATACCAGTAATTAATAATAATATATTTTTCAGGGCCCTGGAGGGAATGGCAGCATGGGAATAATGAGTAGCAGCCAGGGGTACACAAGACCAGGTATGCAGGCCATGGGACCAGGACAAGCCATGGGTCCTAGTACACAAGGCATGGGTCCTGCTGGACAAGGAATGGGTCCTGGGCAAGGAATGGGTCCTGGGCAAGGAATGGGTCCTGGACAAGGAATGGGTCCTGGGCAAGGAATGGGTCCTGGTGGACAAGGAATGGGTCCTTCTGGGCAAGGAATGGGCCCTGGGCAAGGAATGGGCCCTGCTGGGCAAGGGATGGGTCCTGGGCAAGGAATGGGTCCTTCTGGGCAAGGAATGGGCCCATCAGGGCAAGGAATGGGTCCTTCAGGACAAGGAATGGGTCCTGCTGGACAAGGAATGGGTCCTTCAGGGCAAGGAATGGGTCCTTCAGGGCAAGGAATGGGTCCTTCAGGGCAAGGAATGGGTCCTTCAGGGCAAGGAATGGGCCCTGGTGGACAAGGAATGGGCCCTGGTGGGCAAGGAATGGGTCCTTCTGGGCAAGGAATGGGCCCTGGGCAAGGAATGGGCCCAGCTGGGCAAGGAATGGGCCCAGCTGGGCAAGGTATGGGTCCATCTGGGCAAGGTATGGGCCCAACTGGGCAAGGAATGGGCCCTGCTGGGCAAGGAATGGGTCCTGCTGGACAAGGAATGGGCCCAGGTGGACAAGGAATGGGCCCTGCTGGACAAGGAATGGGCTCTGCTGGACAAGGAATGGGTCCAGGTGGACAAGGTATGGGACCTGCTGGACAAGGAATGGGTCCAGGTGGACAGGGAATGGGTAGTGCTGCACAGACCATGGGAGCAACCAGTGCTAGTATGATGAGACAAAGAATGATGCTTGCTGGTGGACCCAACAGTGCTACACAAACAGGGCCTGGAGGTCCTGGTCAGGGAGGAGCGCTGTTATCTCACCTTCAGCGACCTATGGGAAGTGTACAGCAACAGCAACAACAGCAACAGCAGCAACAGCAGCAGCAGCAACAACAACAGCAACAAATGATGCATGCAAATTCTCAAGGACTCGGCTACCCACAGCAGCCACCATATTGATAAATTGTCTTTATCACTGACCAGTATTATATTTTGGTTTGTGCTTGGTTCTCATCCTTTAACTAAGATATAGTAGATATTTTCAATATAATATAGCTTTGAGTTATTAGTTTCTATTTGTTATCAGATCTTAAGTTAATTGTCAATTCTTGTCATTTAAGATATAGTATTGTGTTGTACATTAATTTGCCCGTAGTAAATTTTAATCTTGGCCTGGTCACAGACCGGGCCGCGGGGGCGTTGACCCCCGGAACTCTCTCCAGGTAAACTCCAGGTAATACGTACATATTATATATCATTTTCTTTATGTTAAATTCTTGAGCAGAATAGTATTTGTATGGATGTAAAGCAAGGATCATGTGCACATTTATTAAGGTCACTGTCATGTGCTGTACCTTTGCTCTTGGGAATTTTGCCACCTCCGAGCACAATCACAAAGGTTTTTTTATTTTTTTTTTTATTAACACACTGGCTGATTCCCACCAAGGCAGGGTGGCCTGAAAAAGAAAAACTTTCACTACCATTCACTCCATCACTGTCTTGCCAGAAGGGTGCTTTACACTACAGTTTTTAAACTGCAACATTAACACCCCTCCTTCAGAGTGCAAGCACTGTACTTCCCATCTCCAGGACTCAAGTCCGGCCTGCCGGTTTCCCTGAATCCCTTCATAAATGTTACTTTGCTCACACTCCAACAGCACGTCAAGTATTAAAAACCATTTGTCTCCATTCACTCCTATCAAACATGCTCACACATGCCCGCTGGAAGTCCAAGCCCCTCGCACACAAAACCACCTTTACCCCCCTCCCTCCAGCCTTTCCTAGGCCAACCCCTACCACCCCTTCCTTCCACTACAGACTGATACACTCTTGAAGTCATTCTGTTTCGCTCCATTCTCTCTACATGTCCGAACCACCTCAACAAACCTTCCTCAGCCCTCTGGACAACAGTTTTGGCAATCCCGCACCTGCTCCTAACTTCCAAACTATGAATTCTCTGCATTATATTCACACCACACATTGCCCTCAGACATGACATCTCCACTGCCTCCAGCCTTCTCCTCGCTGCAACATTCATCACCCATGCTTCACACCCATAGAGGAGCGTTGGTAAAACTATACTCTCATACATTCCCCTCTTTGCTTCCAAGGACAAAGTTCGTTGTCTCCACAGACTCCTAAGTGCACCGCTCACCCTTTTCCCCTCATCAATTCTATGATTCACCTCATCTTTCATAGACCCATCCGCTGACACGTCCACTCCCAAATATCTGAATACATTCACCTCCTCCATACTCTCTCCCTCCAATCTGATATACAATCTTTCATCACCTAATCTTTTTGTTACCCTCATAACCTTACTCTTTCCTGTATTCACTTTCAAATTTCTTCTTTTACATACCCTACCAAATTCATCCACCAACCTCTGCAACTTCTCTTCAGAATCACCCAAGAGCAAAGTGTCATCAGCAAAGAGCAACTGTGACAACTCCCACTTTATGTGTGATTATCTTTTAACTCCACACCTCTTGCCAAGACCCTCGCATTTACTTCTCTTACAACCCCATCTATAAATATATTGAACAACCACGGTGACATCACACATCCTTGTCTAAGGCCTACTTTTACTGGGAAATAATCTCCCTCTTTCCTACATACTCTAACTTGAGCCTCACTATCCTCGTAAAAAGTCTTCACTGCTTTCAGTAACCTACCTCCTATACCATACATCTGCAACATCTGCCACATTGCCCCCCTATCCACCCTGTCATATGCCTTTTCCAAATCCACAAATGCCACAAAAACCTCTTTAGCCCTATCTAAATACTGTTCACTTATATGTTTCACTGTAAACACCTGGTCCACACACCCCCTACCTTTCCTAAAGCCTCTTTGTTCATCTGCTATCCTATTCTCCGTCTTACTCTTAATTCTTTCAATAATAACTCTACCATACACTTTACCAGGTATACTCAACAGACTTATCCCCCTATAATTTTTGCACTCTCTTTTGTCCCCTTTGCCTTTATACAAAGGAACTATGCATGCTCTCTGCCAATCCCTAGGTACCTTACCCTCTTCCATACATTTATTAAATAATAGCACCAACCACTCCAAAACTATATCCCCACCTGCTTTTAACATTTCTATCTTTATCCCATCAATACCAGCTGCCTTACCCCCTTTCATTTTACCTACTGCCTCACGAACTTCCCCCACACTCACAACTGGCTCTTCCTCACTCCTACAAGATGTTATTCCTCCTTGCCCTATACATGAAATCACAGCTTCCCTATCTTCATCAACATTCAACAATTCCTCAAAATATTCCCTCCATCTTCTCAATACCTCTAACTCTCCATTTAATAACTCTCCTCTCCTATTTTTAACTGACAAAACCATTTGTTCTCTAGGCTTCCTTAACTTGTTAATCTCACTCCAAAACTTTTTCTTATTTTCAACAAAATTTGTTGATAACATCTCACCCACTCTCTCATTTGCTCTCTTTTTACATTGCTTCACCACTCTCTTAACCTCTCTCTTTTTCTTCATATACTCTTCCCTCCTTGCATCACTTCTACTTTGTAAAAACTTCTCATATGCTAACTTTTTCTCCCTAACTACTCTTTTTACATCATCATTCCACCAGTTGCTCCTCTTCCCTCCCACACCCACTTTCCTGTAACCACAAACTTCTGCTGAAAACACTAACACTACATTTTTAAACCTACCCCATACCTCTTCGACCCCATTGCCTATGCTCTCATTAGCCCATCTATCCTCCAATAGTTGTTTATATCTTACCCTAACTGCATCCTCTTTTAGGTTATAAACCTTCACCTCTCTCTTACCTGATGCTTCTATTCTCCTTGTATCCCATCTACATTTTACTCTCAGTGTAGGTACAACTAAAAAGTGATCTGATATATCTGTGGCCCCTCTATAAACATGTACGTCCTGAAGTCTACTCAACAGTCTTTTATCTACCAATACATAATCCAACAAACTACTGTCATTTCGCCCTACATCATATCTTGTATACTTATCCTCTTTTTTTTAAAATATGTATTACCTATAACTAAACCCCTTTCTATACAAAGTTCAATCAAAGGGCTCCCATTATCATTTACACCTGGCACCCCAAACTTACCTACCACACCCTCTCTAAAAGTTTCTCCTACTTTAGCATTCAGGTCCCCTACCACAATTACTCTCTCACTTGGTTCAAAGGTTCCTATACATTCACTTAACATCTCCCAAAATCTCTCTCTCTCTCCTCTACGTTCCTCTCTTCTCCAGATGCATACACGCTTATTATGACCACTTTTCGCATCCAACCTTTACTTTAATCCACATAATCCTTGAATTTACACATTCATATTCTCTTTTCTCCTTCCATAACTGATCCTTCATCATTATTGCTACCCCATCCTTAGCTCTAACTCTCTCAGATACTCCAGACTTAATCCCATTTATTTCTCCCCCACCGAAACTCCCCTACCCCCTTCAGCTTTGTTTCGCTTAGGTCCAGGACATTCAACTTCTTTTCATTCATAACATCAGCAATCATCTGTTTCTTGTCATCCGCACTACATCCACGCACATTCAAGCATCCCAGTTTTATAAAGATTTTCTTCTTCTCTTTTTTAGTAAATGTTTACAGGAGAAGGGGTTACTAGCCCATTGGTCCCGGCATTTTAGTCGCCTCATACGACACGCATGGCTTACGGAGGAAAGATTCTTTTCCACTTCCCCATGGACAATAGAAAAAATAAAGAACAAGAGCTGTTTAGAAAAAGGAGAAAAAACCTAGATGTATGTATATATATATATGCATGTGCATGTCTGTGAAGTGTGACCAAACTGTAAGTAGGAGTAGCAAGATATCCCTGTTATCTAGTGTGTTTATGAGACAGAAAGACACCAGCAATCCTACCATCATGTAAAACAGTTACAGGTTTCTGTTTCACAGTCATCTGGCAGGACGGTAGTACTTCCCAGGAGGTTGCTGTCTACCAACCTACTACCTACCTACAAAGGTTTATATATAAGAAATTTGTTTCTTTGTGGTAATGTAGTACCTATATTTGTCATCATTCTTTTGTTTTTGTTTTTTAACTATGACCCTTTTGGGTTTAATGCTTACCTTTAGTGTAATAATAAAAAGAAAAAGAGAAGCAAGTTAACACTAATCAAACAAATAGTTTTGATTAGAATGGGGTATGAGTATTATTATTATCAAGTTAAGCTCTAAACCTAAAAGCATCAGTGTAGGATAAGAGTAAAATGTAAAAACCTAGAGTACTTAAAGTAGTCTTTGTCTAGCATAAGTATCAAGGTGTTAGTGCATTCCTACATATCTGGTATTCACAATTCAAGTTCTGTACCTCATACTGTATTTCCAGTTCATTATAGTTTATGGTTGGGCTGAGCTGGGTTTGACGAGAATGTTCAAAAATGGTTGCCGGTATATCTTGGCTGTAAGCAGAGGGAGATGGCCAGTGTCAAAAACTAAATTATCAGTAGTTAAGTACATAGTAGCCTGATGTCTCTTCTGTCATGGTCATACATTCAAGGAAAGGCCCTAGAGGGAACAAAATGTTGTAGATATACAGGAAATGTATTCTTAATATTGCTTTCAAGTAGATTTTCTGCAAGTAATTTTATATTTATTAATTGAAGAAATATTCTCTTATGCTCATACATTTAACATACTCTTTCGAGTCATTGTTAAATGTACAGTACTGCATGGAAATATTCATGCTTGTAGGAAAGAAGCTAATGCTTTTGGTGTCCTGCATATTGTATTCATAGAGGAATGCTAAACTAGTAAGAATATACATTATTTCCCATCTTTCAGGCAAGTTCAATCCAATGAAATGAAAGTCCATTTCCTTGAATCAAGGACCTCCTCATGCAGCTTCATATGTTAATTGTCCCTCATTTCCCTTTTTACCTTTCCAGTCAGCCATTTCCCTTCAAGGAAAAGCCTTGATGCTGATAAGGGCTTGTGATCCAAGGAAATTGATCTTTTTCCCTCCTTCCTCTTCCTTGAATCCAACTTAATTGCCTTACATTCCCCCCTTCCCCAAATTGTGTGACCCCCTACAGGGTCACCATTTCCCCGTAAATATAATCCTCATTCATATGTATACTGTTAGATACTATTTTAAAGTTGACCATTCACATGTATGAGATTTCATCTGCATAACTAGGCTTTAGCAAGTGCAAGATCTTTACTTCATAGATATGTAATTTTAATTATTTATATTTTTCCATATTCTGTTATATTTATAAGAAAAACAGGAAGTGGAATTATCCCCACAAAAAAATAAGTATTAAAGCAAATAATAGGCATTGTATTAAATATACAGTATTTAATTTTTTATTTAAAATAATATACCATTTTATCCTGTACAAATTTATTACAAAATTTACAGCAAATCATGTATCATTCAACCAACAGAAATATACATGCAACAATCAAATACCATGACTAGTTCGTTTGAAAATCAAGGAACATGTTGTAAAGTAAAAGGACACAAGTGCAACTGTGACATTTTTGTTGTGGCAACATTTTGCTCTCCAGGAGCTTTGTCAAAGCTGCTGGAGAGCAAAACGTTGCCACAATAAAAATGTCACATTAGTTGCACTTGTGTCCTTGTACTTTACATATTGCCGGTAATTCTACCAACATTATTACAAGAAACATATTCTTAAGAGCTGATAGTACTGTATAAACATTTGAGCAAAAATTATAACTAGTGTTCCTTGAATAGTGTAACTTGTGTGGACTCAACTAGCATTTGCTGCTAGTGCTTCATTTTTTATAATAATCGCTGTATGACCCTTGTAGGTTTAGCACTTCTTTCTTGAATATAATAATAATATAATAATAATAATAGCATCTGCTAAGTTATACTCAAGGGAGGTTTCTTCATGCTAGTGAGTTCAGCAGTACATGACCTTCCCATTTCATGTAGGGGTATTACATTCTCAGACTATTTTGCTGTAATTTCTAGCCACCTCAACAACCTTGGTCTGAGTTTACTCATAACAAATTACATTCTATCAAGCCATATTTAAGATCCTGGTCTTTTTATCATCAATGGCTTGGTTGGGAGACTATGCTTTCCCATCTTCACATTGGGCACACACATCTAACTCATGGGTATCTCACAGAGGGGCACCCAGTTCCACTGAGAATTGTCAGGTTCCAATTTCAGCCTGCCATATTCTATTGGTCTGTCCTATTTACCAGCGAGCCCGCAGAATTTACCTCCAACGTCATAACTGCTCTAACACCTTTACTTTATATTCCCTCCTCGCTGATGGCCCCACCTTTGACACAGACTCCCTGACTTTTTGACAGCAACAGATTCATTACACATTATTATTATAATCAAAAAGAAGCGCTAAGCCACAAGGGCTATACAGCGCTGCAGGGCAGGAAGGAAGCGAGGGCATCAGGTGGCAAAAGGGAGGTGGATGAGTAATAGGTTATGGATAACAGCGGAGCAGTGGATGGTGAAAGGGTAAAGGGCAGCAAGAGACTGAGCTAGAAAGGGCTGAGGGGAGTGCGTAAGGTATCATCAGAGTTTGTGGAGTAAGTCAGTCGTTGTCAAGAAGTCAATGAGAGAGTCAGGATTAAAGGAGGGTCCATCAGCAAGAAGGGAAGGTAAAGAGAGAGTAGTAGAACGAAGACGGCGTTGGAGGTAAATTCTGCGTGCTCGTTGATAGAGAGGGCAGTCTAACAGAATGTGGCTAATCAATACTGGAACTTGACACTGCTCACAGAGAGGTACAGGGTGCCTCTCCATGAGATACCCATGAGTAAGACGAGTGTGGCCATTGCGAAGACAGGAGAGAGTGGTCTCCCAACCACAGCACTGATGACAAGAAGACGGCCAGTAACCTATGCTCGGTTTAATAGAATGAAGTTTGTTACCAAGCAGAGTTGACCAACGTTGTTGCCAACGGGCGCGAAGGTGGGCAGCTATTGTAGCAAAATAGTCCAGAAATGGAACACCTCTATAGGAAATTGGTAGGTCATGTACTGCTGACAGCGCAGCAGTGTCTGCCTGTTCATTGCCCTGTACGTCAACATGACCAGGGACCCAGCAAAAAATAATATCTTTATGCTTCGTAGAGATACGGCGTAGCCAAAGTTGGATACGGAGAACTAGGGGGTGAAATGTATCAAATTTTCGTATAGCCTGTAGAGCACTAAGGGAGTCTGAGACTACCACAAATGATGACACAGGCATAGATGCGATACGAATAAGTGCTGCAAGAATGGCATACAGTTCAGCAGTAAAAATGCTAGCCGAAGATAGTAAATGCCCCCGCACGACGCTGTCCGGAAACACTGCTGCGAATCCGACGCCGTCTGAAGACTTAGAGCCATCTGTGTACACAGCGGTGGCATGAGAATGGGAGTGGAAGTGATCAAGAAAAGAGAGCGGGAAGCCACAGTAGGCAGTTGAGCTTTCGAGCAAGGGAGTGAGAAAGAACAGACCCGAACAGCTGGAACTTCCCAGGGGGGTAGGGAAAAGTGAGATGCTACATGAACATATAAAGGTGGTAACTGAAGGGAAGACAAGAGTGAATGTAGGCGAAGAGAAAAGGGACGGAGCAAATGGGCGGCGAACGAATAAAGAATGTCTACTAATCTCGGTGACCATTCTATAAATGGAAGGATTGTGTAGATCGTGAGAGCGTACATAGTAGCGAAGGCAATGGGCATCAAGGCGATCAGACAAGGATGGAACATTCACTTCTGCATAGAGGCTCTCAACAGGGAAAGAGCGAAAAGCACCAAGGCACAAACATAATCCTTGGTGATGGATAGAGTTAAGGCTAGAGAGAGCAGCAGGAGAGGCCGCGGAATAAATCTGGTCACCATAATCGAGTTTCGATAAAATGAGGGCTGAATGTAGACGAAGCAGAGTTTGACGATCAGCTCCCCAGGAAAGATGAGCAAGGGTTTTAAGAAGGTTTAGCCGGCTGTGACAAGTTGCCTTCAGAGAGGTAATGTGAGGTTTCCAGGATAAC